TCTAATATTCTCGCGACTTCGCCAAATATTGAACTAATTGCACATTTTTTAATATTTGGTGGTACACTTTCCGTGCACATACTCACTGGTCCTTACACCAGGTGTAGGAATATAATGCAGTAATTTAAATTCATAATTCCGCGAACCTCTACCTGATAGAACAGCTAAGAATACCTACCTATACGAGGCAAGTTTTCTGTGGTTTTTCCAATTAGACACATCCGACACAATAACGAAGCAGGGCTCAGTTTGGTTAAATTCCTCTTCACTCAGAATAATTCTCCTGTAGTTTGAACTGGCGGAGAAAATTGAGTTTACTATTTTCTGCAGTAAGCCGCCAAAATATCACCGTGCAAGGATGGAATCGTCGGGAACAGTAATTATTTATGTTTATGAGTTCCTTTAATAGTAGGTATATCCGAGTAAAGGAGCAAATCACTCAGAGGAATAGAGTAGGTGGTAGGTACTTAATTAAGACCCTTACTGAATTTGGGAACCGCTTCGAAAAATTATTTCTAGTGTATATAATCAAGGTTTCTATAGATTTTGGTCCAAATAAGTTTTCTGAAGTATACGCTATACTTCTAGAACTTCTACAATACCACAGACCATACTGCTTCCAGTGTTTCAAGCGAATTCTATCCGGATTGATCAGCAATCCGATGTATGGTGATGCAGAAACCATACCTGATGTAGAAAATAACAGATTCCTTCATACACATTTCCATTGATCATTTTGTGTTTCAGTCGTTCTATAGTAGAGAGCAGTGAAAAAAAAATCCAGCTACATGTTATTATTTTACCACCACTACCTATAGAATCTACCATTATTTACTTCTTTTGAAGACGTAAAGTGGGTTTTCACTACCAAGGTAGTTTTTGTCATTACATGAACTCTTAGTAAATAAAACAGCCACCTCTGTTATACTGATGCCATATTCACAGGAATGGCACTCGAACCTAGTAGGTATTTATATCAATAACGACTTGTCATATGTTGTCATGGTGACTAGATTTCAATTAGAATTGAAGAGAAGTACTTTCATAGTGACATAGGTCAACATTTCAGTTTCTCAGAACTACAATGACTGAAATATATTGCTAGTGATGAAAAAAATTCAATATACACCTTGGTAGTAATAGTATAATATATTATGTAACAAGTGTTATAAACGTCATTTTAGTAACGAGTGTCTAGAAGAGTTTATAAACGCGTTTTATACTATACTTTTTCTACGAACCGGGAATTGAGAACATAATACTATGCAACTCTATGCAACCAACGAGACACGTATAAGTGATTCTGGTTGTAGATGTGTCCAGTCCATAGGATACATGAATTTTACTAACCTTTGTGAATAAGAAGTTTTCATCTGACGTATATAGAATAAGATAAAAACTCTTCGATTCGCTGAGGTATCAAAGTTTTCGATTTTCTCAGGTTCGTATCCATATCTGATTGCATAATTTTTGCTTACATAATAAATGTTCGTTCATATATTGTCATGCTTAGCATAGAATTAATTGCTCACAAAGATGAGAGCTTCATTTTTACTCAGAGTACTTGGAAATATGCAAGTACCTAAAACATTATCTTCGATTTCACTTCCGTCTACATTTCGCGTGCATTTTTAATGAAGAATTCTGATACAAACAGAAATTGTTTGAATAATTCTGATTGTCACCGATTGCAAATGACAGTTGACAGTTCCTACAATTGACAGGCCGGGCAGAACACAAACAACTGAAAGTGTGGTGTGAAACGGTGACTAACCTATATTCTTTGGTGAAACGTGGTACATATCCGTACTCCAATGGTCCAATGCCATTTTAGTCATGCGAGTAGAAAAAGAATGACGTTTCGGGAACGAACCTGCTCCCGTTTTCAACATAAAAAATGGATTTTTGAATAGCAAATTCGTATTTTTCTTGACACTTTTCAGTTCTCACTGAGTGAAAATTTGTTATTTTTTCTGTATACCTTTATTTCTCTCATTCAAACCTTTTTCAATATGAATTGTCACTGACAAGCTAGTGAATTTTTCTTTCAGGCTCTCTGATAGAAAAAAAACTGATTTGTCCTTACCACACGTATATTGAAATAATATTCATATTTTTATTTTACAGAAACGAGGAGAGAAAATCCCAAAAAATCTGGAATAATGAATGTAAGTAATTGGATCAAAACCTACAGACAGTAACTATTCGTTTTTGTTTATTTCAACAAATGGCTATCTCATTTACATGATTGATGGGCAGTAGCATTTAGAGTCCCTGTATGTATAATTCCCTGTATATATTTGTCATACAGGGACTCTACTAGCATTGGATTGTCATCGTTTATTTGGGTAGGAATGAAAATAAGACGGAATTCAGTAAATTATTTATTTTTAGTATATTACTAAAAGAAGAAGCCTTGTAGGACACTGTATAGATCAATTTTGTAAGGTATACCCAGTAAAAATAACTATTGTCTCTTACATTTTAAAAAAATATGGAGTCATGAAAACGAATTAACTGCACATTCCTTTTCTAATATGTATAACATGATGTTCAACAAACAGTTTTGTTGCACACAATTACCTACAGCTAGTGTAATAGAGGCATTTGAAAAATAAATAATGTGTAAACATCTATCACACGTCACTGGATTTTTAAATTGACTATTTAACATTTCAATAGTCAATTGAGATAGAAACTAATGTAGGTACTTTGTTCAAATAATATGTATAATTATCTTTAAACCTACCATGAAAATAAAAAAAAATCACAGTTGACTACCTATCTACAGCGTGTCTCATTTCAAACGCCCCCCCCCTCTATATCTCAGCTATCAGTCGTGCGATCTCTACCAAATTTGTATCGGTATGAATAATCATCAATATGACCAGTTCTTTAGGGACAAACATCATTTTAGACAGTGCCGTGCATTTTTATTGAAATGAATAGGGGCCAGTTTTTTATTAAATCATATTAGGCATTTTTCCACAGGAAAACTGACCTCATAATATCATTCTTCATGGTTTCAAACCCACATATGTGGATTTTCATAAGATGCCTATGAAGGGTTTCAGAAAAACAGGCACATCTAAACAGCATCTTTGCGAACGTAATAATTATTTACTCGGAAACGGTGAGTTCAACATAAAAAAGTATAACTCGTTTTTCCTTCTAAATCATATGATTTTCCACCTACCGGAGCTATCGAACGTTCCAAAATTCGTAGTTGATTTGAAGTCACTATTTATTCGAGACTGAAAATGAAAAAAATGAAGCCAATCCTGTTAATTCGGAATTAGGTGATTTTTGCATATGGAGGTTCGAAAGCATGAGGAACAATAATATGGGGTTAGATTTCCTGTAAAAAAATGCCTAATATGATTTTATGAAAAATCGACCCCTTTTTATTTCAATAAAAACGCACGGCACTGTCCAAAATAATGTGCATCTCTGTAAAACTGATCTTATTGATGGTTATTTATACCACACCAAATTTGGTTGGAGTTGCATGACTAATAACTGAGATATAAAGGGGGGCCGTTTAAAGTGAGACACGCTGTATAAGTTGTGCTGATTTCTTGTCAAAAAATACAAACATATAATGTCTGTATCTCTCAAAATTATTTCAGTAATAGACTGTGTTGGATATGACAGGGTTGGTTCTATCCACCCTGTACATATTCTGTCTGAAAAAAGTCTAATGATCCCTTTGACAATTAGAAAGAAACACATAACTTTGTTAGGAAACATAAATCATCAAGTACCTAGAAGTATTTCTCAAGTAACATTTAGAACAATCAATTATCTCATTAACATCATATATTATTTATCAACGAATAAAACAAAAAAAGATAAAAATATATGAGCTTCATGATGAAATTGTTCCGAATTATATCAGTTTTAGCACCAAATTTCAAATTCGAACAAAGTACAACACTCCCTCACCCTGTACATCAAAACTTATCCCTATACCCCCTATCAAACATTATTTCATGTATATTGAGCAGATAGGAAGAAAACAACCAGTACACAATTTGTTCAAAGTCCATATAAACCCAGAACATCTCAACCACCTTTTCAGAATATTCCCAACCCCATCTTTTTCCATTCAAAATAGATTTTTTGAAAAAGAAAACATTTTTATTTTCAAATAAGTCAATTTTGGATCATAAAAAGTGGGGGCAAGAAATATTTGGAAATGCACTGAAATGTTTCTTTTTCAAATAAGAAAATGTTTTTTCCACCATTTCTTCAAAAATTAAAAGTGATTATTAGTAATAATTTTAATAAAATTATTTGATTGCACTACCCGCCTACTTCTGTTTTTTTGTGGAAATATTATAGGCATAGAAAAGAAAAACTCTTCTGTTTGAAGAAACCAGTTTTCACCTTTCACTATATTCATTTATAAACTGTTGTGTTTATAATACATAGGTTGGTATTTTACTTTTCAATGTTTGAGCATTTTAAATCAATTTCATATTTGATGTTTTCCAAAATCTTATGGAAACACAAATATTGAAACAAAATTCGCAATCCTTGACCTTGAAAACCTCTATGTGCACCGTTTTAAGCAAATCGGACGAGGAATTATGAAATCGTCCGCCATATTATCGGCGCCATCTTGAATCATTTTCTTACCGAACACATCCGTGTACAAGCATAATGAATTTTCTCTCATGTAGAGAGTCTAATATGAATGTTTTTATGTCTGTGATGTCATTCAAAATCAGATTTTCAGTAACGATTCATTTTTTGTTTGTTCAGATTGTCCATGTTTATATGAACCTTATCAAATCTCCCAATACTCTTTCACCCCAACCGACACACACACAGATCCCCGTATACTCAGAACAAAAATACAGTGTTGGCTGCTTCAACAAAACAACTAAAAACTAAATTTCAACAAATCTCACTAGGCGATAATCTTAGTCTCGAGAATGTACATAGACAGTTTTTTGTTATCACTGAGCATGCGTCGCGTCGACCCCACGCGACCCTTATCGCTGCTGTTGCGTCATCGTTTGGGGGGAGCGGCGCGCCACTGGGGGAGGATTGCCGTTGGCCGAGGGGCTGTTGCCGTTGCCCGCCGACATCTTGGAGAACGCCAGCAGGGTGTCGGGGAAGTTGGGGGGTGTGGCGGGGGTGTTGCATGGGGTCATCACCTGGAAAAGAGAAAAATTCCGAGGTTTTGCAATGATTTCGGTAGGTTGCAGATTTTTTTTCGACATTTGGCAACTGCGCAATCACATCTGTGACCCAAAAGAGAAAAATTCCGAGGTTTCGCAATGATTTCGGTAGGTTGCAGATTTTTTTTCGACATTTGGCAACTGCGCTATCACATCTGTGACCTGGAGGATGAATTCGTTTTGCCCAAACATCCGTATACGCAATTCCTAAAGTGAGTTCCTTCCTCGGTTCTCTCTTATTATTTAACGAGGCCATTGGCTAGTGCCCACTAAATTATTTCAAGCACATGACATTTTGTTTTGATGGATACAGGGTGAACCGTTCAAAAATATTCCTTAAAAATATGAAAAAATGCTTCATAAAACAGTTGCTGAAGCGCCTGTAATTTTTTTTATTTATTTTTTTTTTTTTGATACAGGTTGAATAATCTGAAAGTTTTAATGTAAACAGGGTAAATATTATCTCGCCAAAACAAGTTGTTTGGCCAAAAATTGTTCATGTAAAAAATGTAATGTAAGGGTTCACTACAAAAAAAGAAATCGATAGGTTGAAAATGTAATTAATTTTCCTGATGAAACAATGCAACTGTAGGATATCCTTGCTGGACTGATGACGGCCTTTTTGCGTTTTTTTTTTTTTTTATTCAAACAAAATGTTTTATAGTTGTAGTCTTCTTTGAACCTTCAAATACCTGTACCTCCGTTATCTTGTATATTTTATGTGAGCAATTTCTTTGCTAAACAACTTATTATGGTCAGATATATGTCCTGTTACAGGATCTCCCATTTTTCTGGTAGACAACGGCAATTTTCCTAATTATAATAATTTTTTCAGACGACCATCATTTTGCGTAAAATTTGCTGTTTCAGTGAATTTTGTAAATGCTTTGATGTATCAACCTGGTTAAGCACGATATTCTTCGAACATCATAGGAATTTCCTTTCGTACGCTCCATATAATGAAAAAAATCAAAAAAACATCAAATGCATCGGGCAGGCACGATGACGTCACTATTATGTCAACCTTAAGCCCTATATGGAGCAGCCTATTTAGTTTTTGAATCTTGGTTAGGAGTAATTTTTTATTCAAGCATGTTAGAACATTCATCATATCTCTAGAAAAATAAGTTTCATTTTGAGGCACATATTTTAACAGGGTTTCCTATTTGCTTACTATAATTCAATATTGGCAATAATTTTAAATAATAATAAACGCACACAATTCCTAATAATTTTTTTGAAACAACTACTGTTGATCACCCTGTTGACGTTCATATATGTATATGTTATTCACACTTCCTATAAAATTACAATTATTAGTCATATATTGAATATTTGACTGGTGATTATCATTATTAAATGGCATGACTCATCCACATAAATATCATGTCCTTTCAAACAAACAAAAATTCTCTAAAACAGAATAATATTAGTAATACCTATACCTACCTATAATTTACTAGGTAGAATATAATAAAAAGTATGCCAGAAATTCGTAAAATAAGATTTTTTGTTCCAAAATTAGCTCTTGAAGTTGATGTTCCTCTTACTAACACAATAAAATGATTGGTATGTATGTTGCTAGGCAACACTTTTAGTATAAGAGTTAGTGATTAGTTTTATCGGTTACTGGACCAAAAAGATACATAAACACACTTTTAGTGTCTAGGAGATAACATTGAAGTTTAACTCCTAGGAACTAAAAGTTTTGTTGGATGACAGCTGATATGATAGCTGCTTTGACTCTGACATGCTCAAGTGAGTCAAAATAGGCATAACTCAACTTTCAATTGCAGAAAAAATATCATTCCCTTCAAAAGTGACTTTGTTTGGTATGGCGGAGCGACCGTGAAGCCGAGAATGCAAATTTTGAGAGTCACATTTTGATCCTAATAAAACAATGTAAGTGCTATTTTTCTGGATAAACTTAAAAGGGAATTTCATTCCACCACTAATACAGGAAATTTTGAATAAATTGTACATGCCTGTCCAAAATGTGCTGTAGCTCCAGGTGGGCCAGGTAGGGCAGTATCTTGGAAGAATATACTGAGTGCCGTCTGGAAACAAAAAATATCAGTTTGATTTATTTTTCAACCAGTTTAAAAGACAATGTTCTCTACATGCCCATATGGATGATTCTTTTTTTTTTTCATTCTCTCTAGCCAACTAAGGGAAATTGTGGAATTGTGGAAACATCCTGTAAAGTAGGCACCCAATGCACCCATTAAAATTTTACAGAAACTTATTTTTCATTCAAGTTTGCTTCTCTATTAGAAAAAGTGTAGAGTAGAAAAGAAATGAATCAACAATTAATATGGACCTGAAGAGAACATTGATCTTTTGAAATGGTAAAAAAACACATTTCATTTGTTTGGTTCAAGTTGGAATATACTGTGTGTCATCTGGACACAAAAAAAATATTTATCAGAGGTGTGATTTAATTTTAGACCAGTTTAAAACTTTTGAAGAACTAACTTATAGGTATATATACCTAGGTGTTATTTCAATGCATATAGAATCTCTGTACTGTAGGTATGTATAAAAGTAAACAGTAGAGAGCAGGACGCCAGACACATTATAATGTAAAATCGAGCGTGTAGCCAACACAGATCCAAAAATAAATAATTTAAAATAGTTATCAGCTCGCTAATGACCCTTACATAATAATTATTGTAAAAGGGATGCTAAAAATGATCAGTTCTATCTCATCAATACCTATCCAATAACCAATGTAAAAGGTGATAGGATTTTTATAAAATTCGGTTTACTCAAATCACATGGGACGTGCATGGGACACGATAATATTATATTACATTTGTCGAGATAATTTGCATTTGCCTAGAAATATGAAAGGGCAACAATAAATAAACATTATTGAATTTGAGAGAACAGTGAACAGAAATAGCTGTTTTGTTTATGTTTCAGGATAGTCGACCTTGAAACCCTATTCAGTCAATAATAATAATAAAACGGCCACGAACACAGACAGGACGAGGTAAGGGGCGAGAGGAGAGGGTGTTATCAAACACACAACATCCGCCATCTTGCTCTCGTCCAGAAATGTTTGTTTACAATATCGAGATATTTACCTCAAATTGCCAATGGGCCGATTGCAGTATCTGTTTAGCCTGTTCGTGTGCACAGCCTGCTGCCAGTACGAATTGATTGATCATTACTTGTTCACGAAGAGGAGCATCCATTTCGCAAAATGCTTTCAAAATCCCAGATTAACCTAATAGACACCGGAACAACGTTCACTGCTGTTGTTTTGAAATAATGTTTGAATTCTACGAACGAGCTACGAGCACATCTGGAAGGTCGACGTCGAACTCTTTTTTCAACCGCCTGTCTCTTTCTCGCTCGTGCAAACGATTGTTTATGAATGACGTCAGCGTACTAGCGTAGTCTGCGTAGTACGCAAATCCCTTTATCGATTGTGATAACGCTGTCGATAGCCAATCAAATTCGAACACAACGTTGCCGATGCCGTTGCCGGTATGTGTTGTGAAACGTGGTAGCTGGTACGATATCAAAATGTTACATGGAAAAATTCAAAATGGGTTATGACTATCAATGTGAAATTCCATTGAATAACTACAGTAGCATGCACTATGTATTCTCAGCAAAGATTCTCAGTATTAGCTTGTATACGGTATTATTTTGGTTTTTATTGATTGGCAACACTGGCAAATCTGTTGTGGAGCTCAACAAATTCTGTATTTTTCCATGAATTGACACTAGGTAAGTGAGTACGATTACAGAATATTATCTTATTTTCACAACATGCTCAATTCAAATGTTAGAAGGACGATACCATTAGTAAATTAATGCAATAAATGCATATATTTTCTTTTTTTCGAAGTACAAAATGGGGCAAACGACAAACGATATCAGAAAAGTTCTGACACTTCTGACTACCATTTCGTGGTTCTGTGTCTGTGCCTTGTATGTGCTTTGTGCTCCCTGCATGCTCCCTGTGGTCAAAGGAAGAAGAAGAAACGTGGCAACGTCGTTTAAACGTTGACGGGCTGACGCCGTCGGCCGTTGACACTGGCGTTGACGGCTGCGGGCTGACGCTAATCGCTATTCGCCATTCGCTATACGCCATGTTTCTTCAACATCAGCCATTGTTGGCCGACAAGAAACGATCGTCCTTCTGAATTATATTTAAAAGTAGCATTTTGAAACTTGAGAAAACTGTGTTCAACAGGAGTATAACGAAACCAGGTGGAAAAGGTAAGAACAACAAGCCCGTGAATCTAAAAGTGCCCATTAACCGTTCTTTCTACCCAAGATGTGTATAATGGCAAACTGTGCCTATACAGCTCATCGTATCGTTATCAAAGTATAGTCCTAGTTCGCATAAAGTATGATTACGTGAAAGACTTCTAGTAGTTTGTGTTGTGAGTATCGAAGTTAAAGTCCCAGTTTAAGTCAAATAAGTTAGTAGTTTGGAATTAAAATGTATTTAACGAAGAGGCGAAATGATTTACTGCAGTGCCTTTATGGTATTCAAGAAGTTGGCGGCGGTCCGAAGGTAAGATCCAGATACAACGGTCCCAACAATTTACCAGAAAGTGTTGAAACTATCCCAGTGAGAATGGTGCCTGGATCTATTTCCCTGCCGTTAATATATTTTCGTGTTCACAGCTCACATGGATTCCGAAGATTCTCGGGACGCTTCTTCGGGAAGCGACTCCGGGGAAGAAAACGGGCGAGCCAGTAAGGCTAGCGTTAAATCCACTCGCGGGAACTCTCCTCTATCTCTGTCCAGATCATCTTCTCGATCAAGCTCCCCAAAAAGTCGAGGACAGTCTGTTTCATCGCGAGATTCTTCCGCTAGTCCAGCACAGTCTCCAGAACGGCCGCAATCTAAAAATTCTATTGTCTCTAATTCTAAAAAGAGCCGGTCGCGCAGTAGGTCTAGAAAATCCTCTGTAGCCGGTTCTATAAAAAGCAGGTCTGGAAGCAGATCCTCTGAGCATCAGTCTGTCAAAAGTAGATCCAACAGTAGACAGTCAGTGAAAAGTAGATCAAATAGTCCACAGTCTGTGAAGAGTGGCTCCAAAAGCAGGTCTCCAGCAGCAAATAGTATCAAGAGTAAAAGCCCAGGAGTAAGGTCTGCCAAGAGTGTGTCTCCTGTAGACAGACGGTCTCATAGTTCTTTCAGTTCCTCTGAAGATGATACTCAAGAGGTGAGAGACATAGGACAAACCCCCAAGTCACCTGACAGTCCTGCAAAAAGACCTTCCCCACCTCAGTCACCAGATGTACAAGGTGATTAAGTGTTATCAACATGAGATTATAATTAAATTTTAGTCTTGAGCAAGGTTAGTGATTAGAGAAACTATTTGTTAATCTGTGCTATTACTAACCTGCCATCCACAAATTAAATCACCATACTTTTATAATGTCAAAAACAAAGTTTTTGAACTTGATTATTGATATCAAATGCTAGTTTATCAGTTGATTTGAGTTTCCTCATTGAGAGACAGAATATCTCAATAAATTTACATCATGGCTACTTTTACATCAAAATGTATGTCTATGATTACAGATTCAGTGGGAATATGAGAATTCAGTATCATTAAATACTTTGTTAATGTTATTCCTTTTTTTTATTGGGCTGAAAGACTTGTGTCATAGCCTTTTGGATGAGTTGAAAAATATAGAAGTAGCAGAAAAATGTTAAATCAATGCAAAGAAATATCTGCTCAGTAAACTTTAATTCCATATCTACTTATCATTCACAATTTGGTTACTTGGAATGGATTATAATATTTTTATTTGATATTTTATCATATTTTTTTGAGAAACAACAATTGTGCAATTATTATTGTTTTAATTTATTATGTTATTTGTATGTTTTCTTATATATATCCCTATTATAAACAATAATGTTTCTTGGGGTAATAAAGACAATCAATCAATATTCTTCCTCTTTTTCTCTCATTATTTTTTTCTCAATTATTGAATAATTATTGTAGGGCCAAGATCTCCTTCCCCTCAAAGTTCTTCTGGGAGCAGTTCTGCTGGGAGCCCTGTCAGGGAGGCCCCCAAGCATGACAGTGGTGGTGGTGGTGTTGGTTCAGTAAGGTCACCCACACAACCCCAAAAAGAAGATGATAATTTGTCATTGAAGAGTAACAGCAGCAATGACTCAAGGTAGGGATGTGAAACAATAAAATATTGAAAATGAGAGTTCATCTACAAGTATTTTATTTTTGACAGTTTGGACTTTTTGAATAATTGAAAATAATTGATTGACACCTTAGGAATATTTCATTCCCTGTGAAAGTTTATGCATGTGTGGAATAAATTGGTTAAATTTCATTCCCAAACTTTTTTCATGTAACTAATGTAAAAAGTAGTTTGTTTTTCAATGTTATAATCATGAACATCTAGTGAGTTTTTGAAAAAGGAATCAATTTCAATATAATTATGCTAACCATATATTGGAAGAAAATCATAGTTTTGATTACAATTCCAAAATTTCACATTTAGAAAAGAAAGCAATAATGCTCATAATCATTTGAAATCATTAGAAATAAACAAATGCAAAAATTCTCACATTTCACTTTTCTGAAATAAAGAATCAACTAGCCTGCTTGCTGGTAATTTTGATCCTTTGGGCTCCTTAATATTTACCAGGTGTTTCTCAAAAATTGCTCACCCCTATGACTTGTTTCTGTGTTGGAATAGTATAAATACGATTTTCTTGACTTATTCATTTGTTTTCTGGCAGCTTTTACCGGAAATGATCCTCATTTCCTTATTTTAAATGGGACACCCGGTATATTTTTACTAATTTCAATAAAAAATCACTATGGGAGTCCCACTTAAATGTGTCACCCCCCTTTATCCTCATAATTCTCAACATATTTTGGTCACTCTGAACCCTTCCTGGAATTTTTATGAATTTCTTGAATCTGTGCTAATTTTTTCTTCATATCAACAAAATACAGGGTGGTAAAAAAAGTTCTTCAAATGAAATGATTCACATTTTATTTTATTATAATATATTAATGATACATAATTTTGAAATCAGATTAGCGGGCTTCATCGAATCATGGAAAAAAAAGATCATTTAATTTAAAAAAAAATTGTTTTATGGGCAACCTGTATTTGATTTGAATGATCAAAATACGTTGAGTATCATGAGGATTATAAGGGGGTGTCACATTTAAGTGGGACACAAGGTACAATGACATCATTTGTCACTTTTTGAACTTAATGAAATTTCCAATAGCATATTTGCACTCATGAGCGCAGAACGTCAATTTTATGTTGAGATTGGAGGACATTGAAAAGCTACTTTTGACCACTTAGAGAAGAATAAAAACTCCTCATAAAAACAGAGTTGATTCATGATTGTTTGAAAAGGGGTCCTTTTCCTTTGATTGTGATATTCAAATATTCAAAATGGAATATAATTATTCTCAGGCCGGGTTCGAGAAAGTCGCCGTTTTTTCACATTTCCACTCACTAGCGCAAAACCTCAATTTTATGTTGAGATCTGACTACATTGATAGCTTCTTTTGACACCTCTTGGAGAAGAATAAAAACTCCTAGACTCCTCAAAAGAACAACAAACAGAGTTGAGTCATCATTGTTTGAAAAGGGGTCCTATTGCTTTGATTGTGATATTCAAATATTCAAAATGGAATATAATTATTCTCACGCTGGGTTCGAGGAAGTCACCGTTTTTTTTTAATTTCTACTCACGAGCGCAAAACGTCAATTTTATGTTGAGATTTGACGACATTGAAAAGCTACTTTTGACCGCTTGGAGAAAAACAAAAACTTGTAGACTCCTCAAGTAAACAGAGTTGAGTCATCATTGTTTGAAAACGGGTCCTTTTCCTTTGATTGTGATATTCAAAATGAAATATAATTATTCTCTGGCCGGGTTCCAGAAAGTCGCCGTTTTTTCACATTTCCACTCACGAGCGCAAAACGTATTTTATGTTGAGATTTGATGACATTGAAAGCTACTTCTGACCGTTTGGAGAAGAATAAGAACTCCTAGACGGCTCAAAAAACAGAGTTGAGTCTTTTTCCTTTGATTGTGATATTCAACATTATTCAAAATGGAAAATAATTATTCTAAGGCCGGGTTCGAGAAAATCGCGGTCGAGCAGAAAGTCCGGCTCTTCGAGGGGGTCCGCAAGGGGGGCCAGGAAGGGGGGACAAGCCACCTCGTCGGATTCGAGTGACAGCAGCGTGGATTCTTCCAGCAGGAAGAACAAGAATATCGTGAAGAACGCAGACACACAGCCCGAGGAGATATCCGACGGTATGTTTGGGGGGGGGGCGGGGTAGTTACAGAAATGGCGAATTATCTCTGTTTGATGAAAAACATCAAGAATAATACCTGTGATCAATTTTTCCTTGAAACCGGCATTTTTTACAATAAAACCATGCTGTCACATAATTGAACAATGATTTTCATGAAAATGTTGATAATGAAATGTGAATTAATGATGAATTTCATGTCTCAACAGTCTAGATTTCTGTTCTAGTAGTTAATAATAATAATAATAATAATGTGTCTTTATTTTATGAAAAAACTTGGTAACACAAACTATACAATAGTGCTGGCGCCATTCGGCCTCGGCCGCTCTTCCTAGTTCTAGAATGACTTTCAATTAACTGAATGTTGATAAATACCCGAAAACATCAAATTCAGTAAAAATTATCGCTCTAATTTTTGATTCTATCAACTTAACCTTGGAAATGCATTGTAAAATTGTGAAATCTGACAGATGAGTGAAATTTTCTGAAACATTTTGTAACATGTTGTGAATCAATTTAAAGAAATTCAAAGAAATATCTGCTCAGTATATACAGTAGACTTCAATTCCATATCTACTAATCGTTTACAATTTATATTTCATTATATTTTTTTCATGAAAAACAATAATTGTGCAATTTTTATTGTTTTAATTTATTAATTTATATGTATGTTTTGTTATGTATCCCTATTATAACCAATAATGTTTCTTGGGGTTATAAAGACAATCAATCAATATTATCCCTATTTTTCTCTCATTATTTTTTTTCTATTATTAAATAATTATTGTAGGGCCAAGATCTCCTCCCCCTCAAAGTTCTTCTTGGGAAGTAGTTCTTCTTGGGAGCCCTGTCAGGAAGGCCCCAAAGCATTGAGTAAATGAATTCCCACAAATTATTGAATAGCAGGACGTTTTCATTAATGCTTTTTTCTCAATAGTTAATGAAATCATATTTTAATTCTGAAGTTCATAAAATGTATTATCAGATTCAAACAATTCAAAACCTATTAAAATAAGAGCAAAAACTCATTGGTTTATTCCTGAAACTGATTATAAATGACATGGACAGAAGACAATGCATTTGACAAATGGAAATTTCACAGTAACTGCTACCAACATAGAGCACAAAACGGCTGACCCTGTCCTAATAAAATATCATAAATTCTTGTTTCTTATCAAATATTCAAATTGTTGTGCATTAGGTGATATAGAGTCTGACCAAGATAAACAACCGTGTCCTGCTGATAACAAACCTGACCAAAAAGCGGAATTGAATATATCTCACGAGGATCTGTCGGACGTGTCCGATTTGGAAGATTCCATCGGAGGGAATTCCGGTAACGAGCAGACCGACGACAAGCCGGAAGAGAAGGTTAACGGAGTGCAAAACAAGGATGTCAGATCACCGTCTCCGGAAGTGAAAAAGGTTAATTTTTTATTCTTCAAAAATAATCAAATGATAATTTACCATACTTGCCTACCAATGTTTCAAACCTTATATGAACCACGGCACTTGTGCTTTTTTTTTAATTATCAACAGCTTTTTATTAGCTTCACCTGTATGTATGGAATTATGATTCTTTCGTCAAAATTTGAGGATTCAAGATGGCGTTTCCAATATGGCGGACGAGTTCCGTAATAATTATGAACCGATTCTATTCAAAATTTGTATCTGGGCGTTTCCGAGGTCGGAGAATACGATTATTTCGTTGAAATTGGTAAATTCAAAATATTTATGTTTTCTGATAGTGATTTCAGTACCTTCTTTCTCAGATGTTCGTTTGTTAACAAACATCATATCATTTGACGCCAGTTCATTCAATTGTATTTGTGTATTGTAAATGTATGAGTACACTTCTTTGAATAAAGCAATCTATCTATCTATCAAGATGGCTGATCCAATATGGCGGGAAAATTTTGTATTTATGATCTGATTCTATTCAAAATTCGTATCTGGCGGCTTTCAGGATTGGAAATTATGTTTCTTCCGTCAAAATTTGAAAATTATAGATCGCGTATCTGATATGGAGGACGTGTTTTGTTATTATATGATCCGATTCTATTCACAATTGGTGTCTGGGGGTTTTCAAGGTCGGAGATAATGATTTTTTCGTCAAAATTGGAAAATACAAGATGGATCATCCAATATGGCGGCTGAGTATAGTAATTATGGTCCGATTCTATTCAATATTGGTATCTGGGGCGTTTCGAGGTCGGAGATTATGATTCTCTCGTTAAAATTGGGAAATTCAAGTATGCTGATCCGATATGGCGAACGAGTTTTGTAATTATGATCCGATTTGAGTGAAAATTTCTATCTGTGGATTTTCGGGGTTGGAGATTATGATTCTTTCATCGTCAAAATTGGAAAATTCAAGATGGCAGCTCCTATAGCGAGTCCAGATGAGTCCATAATGAATAAGAGTAAATAAACAGTGAAATGAATTGGAAAAAGAGTGAATGAGAAAGCGTGAGGAGAGGGAGTGAAAGATTGATATAAAAAGGACAGAAAGGAAAGAGAAATATATCAATAAAAATCAGTGGCATATCATTGTTATAAAAATCACGGACCCTTTCCTGACCAGACCTCCGACAAACCGACCGCCGGCACCGGCGGCGGCGAAGAGCCGGAAGAGCAACTCGACTTCGAGGCCGAAGACGGCGAATGCGAGGGCGAGATCAAAGACGACGACGCCGAATCGGCCGCCCCCCAAAACGACGCGGGGGCGGACGAGACGGCGGCGGCGCATCGGGAGGCGGCCAAGCGGGCGGAGGAGGAGGAGCGGCGACGCAAGCGGGAGGAGGAGCTGGAAGAGGGCGAGGTGACGGACGAGGACGAGGCGCGGCCGGAGGAGACGGAGCCTCGGCCTGTGTGCCGGTTCTTTTCGAGGGGGCAGTGCACGTGGGGGGCCAGCTGTCGGTTCTTGCATCCCGGAGTGACGGATAAAGGTGAGCGAGAGGACTTTCAGAATGGTACATTAATGGGCTGTCGAAGATTCTAACTGTCACATAAACACTAGCTGTATTTGTATTTGTTTTTCTGCAACCGACACAAAAGTCGTCCATTTAGCTCTTGAATTGACGTTTCTATTACTGACACGAAAATAGGTATGTTGCTAGGCAACATATTTAGTTCTTAGGAGCTGAAGTTGAACTTTAGCTCCAAGGAACTAGAAAGACTGTACATCATCAAGAATAAACAACATTGTTATGATTGGTTATTTGGGTTGGGACGCATACCTGATTTGTTTCCGATTTCGGCAAATTCGGCATTTCATACCCATGCTGGAGATATTAATACACCTTATTATGGTTGGCAATATTAATAATGAACATCTCAGTTAAGTATTTTTGTTTTGATGAGGGAAGCCTTCAAGATTCACATACTTGCTTGATCTGTATTTCATTCGTTATTCTCGGGATGGATGACTTGTTTTTGAATAATCAAGGCAAGCAATAGTTTTTTGCCTCATTCAACGATATTGCTCACCCATATTTGATTTTCAAGTCAATTACAGTTTAGTATGGAGAGTAATAAATAATCGCCATTATCATTGTTGATATGCTCACTAACCTAACATTTTCCACGTCTTGTTCCTATACCTGGCACTGGCGCGGTATTTGCCATTAGAATATCTGGTCCAGACACAAATATGTCACTCTGTGGTTGTATTTATATTGAAACTAATTCGAACATCCTTGAAAATTGAATGAACCTGCTGTTAATGCATGTAGAATATTCTCACCACATAGACTCTATGGATATTGATATTTTTTGGACTGACATTGAAATTTCTTTATTAATTTCTCAATTGTATAAAACAATTCTATAGTATTCATCACAACTTCACCAACTGTGTATATAAAGGGTGAACAATAAAAGTTATACATTATTCAGAGGGGCTGTAGAATATTAATTCTCCGGCAATGATTCTGTAGAGTTATCCCCATTTTTCGCGATTTCATTCATTCATCCGTGTTTGGCGTTTAGAATTGTCGCCGCACATTTTTTGATGATTAATGAACGGACAGTACGGTGTCTATCTATTATTATTATTTAGTCTGAGCACTCACCCCGCATATGTTCAAATGTCTATTATTAATTATCCCTACCATTCGCAATTCCATTCCTTCATCCGTGTTTGGCGATTAGGATTGTTGCTGTATACTTTTTAATAATTTCTGAATGCATCGCGGTCTCTATTAATATTCAATAAGTTTGAGGCCAAGACCTGCATTTTAGGCAACTATATATACAGAGTTATGGATGTTGTCAAGAATACTACAGAATTTTGTTAGACAATTGAGAAATTGATAAAGAACTCTCAATGCTAGTCTAAAATATCGAAAATATATAATTTCTTTATAAAACTACAACACTAGCTGTTTCAAGTGGAAACCAGACCCATATTTCTAGAAGCAAAATCGTACATGGTCCTTCGAACCGGACCATGTAGAATTGTTGACGTATACTTTTCAATGATTAGTAAATGAATCGCGGCGTATATTTGTCTGATGTCATGACTCGTATATTATTCAACTTCCCATTTTAGGTAATTACACCATGTTCGACCTGATCCGGCCCATTGTTCCGGGCGGCGAATACCGCGACGAGCGCATGTACGGAGGTGGCGGCATGAATAAAATGATGGAGCCTTTGCAGCCGCCCCCGCAGGCGGTGGAATCGGCGTGGGAGCGCGGCTTGCGCACCGCCAAAGAGATGCTGAAGAGGTCGGTGAAGCGGAAGGAGCAGGACGTGGATTTCGAGGAGAAGAAGATGAATTTGAGCTTGGCGCAGGAGGAGTTCGATAAGGAGAACGGGTATTACGGGAGGGCTGTTTCACCGGAACCGAGGTTTGTCCAGACATTTTGCTTTTTTTGTTGTGGCGGGAAATGTTTCTTACTATAGGTGCTTATTATTCATTTTGAATACCATTGAAGTGGTGCAGCAACATCGGTTTTGGAAGTACTAATTTTACTCCTTTGGGGGAGTAGAATCACTTATTATACAGGGTGTTCCCAGAATTGGAGTGATCCTTGAAATAGGTAATGGAAGACGAAAAAACAATGAAATATGTAAGAATACATTTTTGTGAAAAAAATTATTCAAGAAGATATAGAAATTTGAAGTTTTAGCACAAAAGTGATGAATTTTATTTCTCCTTCCATAAAAAGAAAAAAATAAGACGTATTTTTTTTCATTGAAGTGAATGCTTGGAGAGATTGAACTCTTTGAGACATGAGGGTTGGCTTTAGATTTGCCTAAATTTGTGTCCCAATTACTCCCGGTTGAACCACATGCTCAAGCACATGCCTGCCGAATATCTAGCAATCGGAAGTTCGGGGAATTACTTGAAATTACGCGAACATGATCATCATCAAATGTTGTTCAACTTTCAGTCGTTCCATATCTTTCACTGTATTTTTCTCAGTTATAAGATGATATGGGATAGTGTGTCTATGATAAAACTTCTTTATTTTTTTACCTATATTTTTTAGGTAATTGTTATTGGATGTTTGTGTGTCTTAACTAAGTAATGCTTGGCTCTGCGTACATAGAGAGGGCTCATTTTGAACATTATTAAAAATCTGTTTTATTATCAAAAACTCGTTGATATTCTTGTTATCAAATGAATTGACTATTCAGTATCTCCATTTCGTAAGAATTTGAAGCCAATTATAATAACTGGTAGAACTTACAAAATGATAGTAACCTGGCAGCAGTGCATCAAACCATGGTGAATAAAATCACACAATTTTCGAACATTTTGGACTGCTTCAAAAGAATGTTTTTTGCCATTTATGGATGTTATTATGATTCAACACACTCTATTTCAAGGATCCTTTCAATTTGGAAACACACAAGTTCCGTTTTATTTGTTCCATTCTGGTAGCGGTGGTGGAAACAGAATGACTTTTACAAATAAAACGAGAAGCTTCATGACCTTGCATGAGAGAATTCACATAAGAGGTTTTATTTGTATATGGGGGATCCAAATATTCTCAAAATCATAATACAAGAGTTAAGAATCTAGAAAATGAATCAACTAATATTTGCCGCAGTGATTGTGGTGATTAAAGGAACTTCTTCTCTGAGATCCAGAGAATTCATTTTATCTGGGAATGCACCTGTCTTACTCGAAAGAATCATGAACTAGTGAAACTCACGATGAAAATGTCTTCTAAATGTCTGTCAACAGTCATTCACGCCTTTTCTGGTAGTGAGACGGAATGAAAAGTGGCAACCGGAATCGAAAAAGTTGCAAATAAAACGACACATCAAACTGATTCCGGTGGCGGAATCGGATAAATAAAACACAACTCTTGTCTACAGATCGTGCTAAAAACAAATTCCACTCTCACCTTTTTTTCTATCTCTCTATCTCTCTTACTTCAGATACGTCCGCCACGTGACCACCGACTACCCCATCCAACGTCCCCCGCCCGACGACTACTACCCCCGCCGCCAAGTCCTCTACGAGCCCGAGTACGTCCCCCCACCACAACGCGAACGCCCTCGCGCCCCCTACCGCGAACTGCCCGCCCACCGCATGCCCGACTACTACAACAGCAAGTACGAAGCCGAAGCCCCGCCCCCGCAGCCAATGAACAGCGGCGGCGGCGGAGATAGGGGCGTGCCGAAGGGGCGGAGCGGCAAGCAGAAGCGGGAGGTGATCGTGCAGCGGGCGGAGTCGGAGAGGCAGGGTGGGGGAGGTGGTGGTGGTGGGGGTGGTAGAGGAGACGAGTGGAGCGATCCGTGGATGAGGAGCAAGTCGCCGGTCGGGAGAGGAGGGAGAAAGGAGGCGAGCGGTGGCGGGGGCGGGGGTGGCAGGAAGCGGTCGTACAGTTCAGGGTCCAGTTATTCCAGTAGCAGGTGAGAGGAGATTAGTTGTTTGTTTTGATTATTAAATGTTTTGAATTTTTCGTAAACTTAAGTTGAAGTTCAATTCCTAGGAACTAAATGTGTGTTGAATGACAGCTGATTGATAGCTGCTTTGACACTGACATGCTCAAGTGACTTGAAATATTGATAGCTTCATTTATTTATTGAAACAATGAAAACCATCTATAGCTTATAATATTACTTGTAAATGACCCGTAAATCTTGACAACAAATATTTATGATGGGCGAATAGAGGAGAATAATGAGAATAAGTGATTTTAAAGTTCATTATTTCCATAGTGAAGGAGAAAATAAGTAAAGGAAAAAAAAATCGTGAATTTTTGCAATTGTGTTTTGCAGTTCGTCGAGCCGTTCTTCGGAGTCGAGCAGGAGCTCGTACCACTCGCGATCCCGTCCTACCCGAAGGCGGCCCACAGGAGGCGGTGGTGGTGGTGGTGGGGGCGGGGGATCGCGCAGAGGGCGGCCCGTGTCGCCGTCGGTGATCGTGTCGGAGAGGAAGGCGGCCAACGAGCGGGCGGCGCTCATGAACCCGCCGGCGCCCAAGAGGCGAGTGCCGTCGCCCGGTGAGTAACCACAGATATACAGGGTGTTTCATAAAGACCACGTCGAACCTGGGGATAATGTAGAATCGCCTGCATATGAGGAAATTCCCATTATGATTTATTTTTTTTATAAATATCCATGTTTCTCACAGGCCCCCTTTGAAATGTTCGGAGAATGTTTTTGATGAATACGTTAAAATCATTCTTCAGCAATATTTACTGAAAAAATTAACCAAAAAGGTGTTAAATTGTACAGGGTGATTCACCATGAATGTGCCCCCCTCTAGCTCAGCTATTTTTTAACCGATTTCAAAATTTGAAAAATCATCTAAAATGATTTTCGATGAAGTTTTCTTCCGCTACATCAGAAAATACAAGGTGTTCGGAACAAACGATCTACAGGGTACTATTTGATTTTTTTGAATGGAACACCTTATTTTTCATTGTATTTCCAGATTCTCCCTGAAGTAATGATTTTATCAATGCATCACACTTAGGGCCTAGCAAAAATGATTACAGAGATATAGGGTGTTCAAAATCGAGATTTTTCAACTTGAGGATTTTTCTGTGACGAAAATATTCATTATCGGTTAAAACGGCTTTCATATCCATATCCCAACTTTTGATTCAATATCTACTGACATTTAATAATTGGAACAGATACAGGGTGATCAGAATTTTGAATCTTGTACCACCCTGTATATGTTCCAATTATATGTCAGTAGATAGTAAATTGATAATTGAGTCAGGAACAGAGAAGTCGTTTTGACCAATAATGAATAGTTTCTTCCACACACAAAAATCTTGAAGTTGAAAAATCTCGATTTTAAACACCCTATATCTCTGTAATCGTTCCCGCTAGACCGTTACCATCGAGACTTCACGAGGGTAACGGCTAGACCCCAAGTGAGATACATTGATGAAATCAGCTCTTCAGGGAGAATATGAAGATACACTGGAATACAGGGTGTTCCATTTGAAAAAATCCAGTATTACTCTGTAGATCGTTTGTTCCGAGCACCCTGTATTTTCTGATGCAACGAAAAAACATTTGTGACAAATTATTTTAGATCATTTTTCAAATTTTGAAGTCGGTTCAAAAATGAATGAGCTAGAGGGAGGGACATTTATGGTGAATCACCCAGTACCAACCGTACAGACAAAACTAATTGAAAGGGGAAAAACTTTAATATTTTCAACAAATGGCAATCCACAGAAATTTGTCATCATCTGCAGCAAAAGAAAACGATGTTGGATTTGGACAAGATATAAACCATTTCATTGACCCCCTTTCTATAATACCTCTATGTTATACAATATACAATAATGAAATGGTAATGATTTATACAGGGTTACTGGTAATTTGATACATTCAATGTGATGTGATAGGGGAGGTGGTAAGGAGTGAATTATACCCTAATATGCATCATGCAAAAGTTGATAGTTTTTGAGATATTTAAATTTTTCTGTTTTTCTCCAAACGGTAGACTTTATTGGTTTGAAAGTTAGTTTCCCGAAAATCTGCTGTACATTTTTTCAACCTTTCAACTAGGATACATGATCAACACTGATCTTGTGTTACAAATGAAGAAATTCCAGAAATAGTTCAGATCATAAATAAATTTTAAATACAAAGTCGTATTTTTGTTTGTTAATGAATAGACAGATAAACAGAAAAATGAATAGATATCTCAAAAACTTTTTACTTTGGCATAATGCATATTAGGGTTAAAATTCACTCCCTACCATCACCTCTATCACATCTCCAAAGGAATATATCGAATTACCAATAACCCTGTATAGTAAAAATACTCCGAGTCGTCTCCATAAAGTTAAATATCATAAAATCATGAGGGGGGGCGCACACTTCGGGTCTATTTAAAGTATTCATCATAGAACTTTGTGGAGAAGAAAAAGGACAAACGATTAATTCAAAGTTATTTCATATTTTATTTTATTATTTAGGTATGATGCGCGTGTCGAGCGCCGCCAATCCTCCTGCGCCTGCGCGTGAAGACACCTCCTCCTCCTCGTTAGCTCGCAACAGGAGCAAGCTGGCGGTGGCGGCGGCGCTGGCTCGCGTCAAAGGCGCCGCCGCCGCTTCGAGGGCGCGCCGTGCGTCTTCGAGGTCGCGGTCGTCGTCTAACAGCTCGTCGGCTAGTTCGAGCGAATCCGATTCGTCGGATGATTCGAGTAGTTCGTCGAGCAGGGAGAACAGTCCGCCCAGCAGAAGGCCGGCAGGTTAGTGTATACGAAAAAAAAAGTTTATATTTGTACACCCCTGTATCTTTGATAATTGTTGAGTTGGGATTCTGAAATTTGTAGGAGCGAGAGGTATACTGAAAATACACACTATAACCCAGTGAAGTCATCTTCAGTGGAATACATTGCTCGCCAACAACCATGGAACCACCCACACTTCCGGAAAATGATATTAGGAGTGGGTGGTTCCATGGCTGTTGGTGAGCAATGTATATAACTCAAGATGACACAACTTGATTATTTTGGGTATTCTCATTATATCTCCTGCTCCTGCAAATTTCAGAATCCTAAGTAAACAATTATGAGATATACAGTGGTGTTTCCATCAGAAGTGAGACACACTGTATTTGTTTGAAATTTCCTAATTTTCATAATTTTTTGCCCAATTTTTGTTCATTTTCAGTCAAGCTACAATTTTTCAAATGGTTTTTATTACCCGGATGACCCTATATAATAGGTGCATGCTTGTACTTCCCTATACACAGTGTCCGAGATAACGATGTCTAATCATGAGGATCTCGGAAACAATAAAAGATACAAAGATGGTTAAATTTGGAACCACTAAAAAGTGATTATCGTGCCCACCCTGTATACTAATGGTTTTCTGTCGTCATCCAGCCGTCGAGCTGGTGAAAGCCATGGACGCCCTGAAGGGCGGCGCGCTGGAAAAGAAGCAAATCAAGCTCAATCTCAAGCATCCCGGCAAGAAGCTGGACGGCGCCGAGTTCGGTCGCAAAGTGGAGGCGGCAGCCGCGGCGGCGGCGGCGCAGAGCAAGAAGCGGCCGGCCGGTTCGCCGCCGGCGGGCGATCCCAAATCCAAGAAGGCGACGTCGAGGCGCGAGGAGCTGCTCAAACAGCTCAAGGCGGTGGAGGACGCGATCGCGAAGAAGAGATCCAAAGTGTGAGTTGAACATTTCACATTCTCACATAAACATGATTTTTTTCTACTCACATTACTAAAATGGCACTTAACATTCGGATATGTACAGTCATCTTCAGAGAACATGTCGCACATGGATGGCGCCATCAGCTCTCTCAATCACCGCAGCAATAAGAGCGCTCATACCATCCAACTGCAACATGTTCACTGAAGACCAGTGTACCAACCATAATATGCTAATCTGTGATTTATTCAAAACATTAAAACACCTTACCATTGCAACACATTACCATGGCAACAGACATTTAAACACACCTTCAGTCGTCCGAGTCCAGTTCTGTCCGGCCTGTCATTTGTAGGAACTGTCAGCTGTCATTTTCGAATTTTTTTTTTGTCATCAGAATTATTACAATTTTTTTTGTGATATTCTTTCAATCTGAACTAACAGAAATATTTCACTGGAACTGAATCGTTCTTTCGAATGATATTTATTATGTACAATGCATGTCAACTGATTCAGTTCAGTTCAAGTGAAATGTGGCTGTTAGTTCAGAATGAAAGAATATCACATGTCATTTCGTTATCAGATGATAGAAATTTGCACCCGGACGACTCGGAAATGAAACAAATTCAGAATATTCTAAAATTTTATTACAACAAATTGATTTCAATACAGCAGTTCATTCAACCAATACGGCAACAATCTCCTTTTCAGATAAACATTTCTCACAAATCATCATCACCAATCGTTTGGGGGGTCTCCAACATTTCATTCATTGGGGTTGACAGAGTGCATGGTTGAGGAACCTGAAAGTGCATGAGTGCATAGACTCGATAAGTGGAGGGGCATGTCAACTGAGCACTGGATATTCTGATAGGGTGCATGTTAACTTTGCTAAAACATCATGATCGTTGCACCCGACATCGAAATGTCCTAATAAGCCTAGTTGATATGCACCTCCGAAATTAAGATAACTCATCTGACGGGGAGTTGACCACTAATAGTTAACACACATTAACCGTCAACTCCTCAAATCAGACATACAAAATCTATTGATTCGGCTGATGAGAACCTTTAATCCGTGGAACAGACTACATCATCCTCATCCACAGGTCTAATGAGCATCTTTTTAATCCTAGCAGAGGGAGTGTCAACTCGGCTGATAGATATAGTTGTTACTCCTAGGAGAAGAGAGAATGTCAACTCAGCTGTTGGGGATCTTTTTAATCCTAGGCAATTGGGGAGTCTGTGAACTTGGCGTTCGAGGAACTTTTCAATTTTGGGGGAAAGTGAGAATGAGCTAACTTAGTTCTGAAAAAATACGAACTTGGCTGAAGAAGGTTCACTAGCCGATTTGCTATTCTCTCAGGATTTGAGAGAATGTCAACTCTGCTAAAGATGATATTTTCAGTCTACATTCGGCATGAACCAAATGCAAATTTTTCCCAATTGGCCGAGTTACGTGTACGTGTACAGTGGCCTAAAATGTCCATATTCCGAGTGGTCACTTGGTTGATTAGGAAATAATTTGCATTTGGTTATGCCGAATGTAGACTTAAATGTCCTCATTAGCCGAGTTGACATTCTTTCAAATCCTGAGAGAATGCAAACTCGGATAGTGAACTTTTTCTAGCCGAGTTCGTATTTTTTCCAGGATTAAAAGATGCAGCTTTGCACGTGGAGCATGTGCAAGGTGGACGTTCTGCCGTTAATTGACGTAATGCCTTTGTCAGCCCATTTTCCCTTTCCCCCAGGATTGAAGAGTTCCTCGACGGCCGAGTTGACATTCTCCCCCTTCTCCTAGGATTAAACAGGTCATCAACCGAGAACATCCCCCCTCTATCCCTTTCAACCGAGTTGGCATCCCCCTTCTCGTAGGATTAATTAGGTATATCCCCCGTCAACTGAATGACATCCCCATCATCCCCATACCTGATTGACATCTCCCCCCCCCTGAGTTCATCCATCCCCCTCATCATAGGAATTAAGAATATCATCCCCTTTTCCTGAGATCACATCCCCCCCCGTCTCCCAGGAACCATCCCCCTTATCATAGGAATTAAGAATATCCATCCCCTTCTCCTGAGTTCACATTTCCCCCCCCTCTCCGTCTCCCAGGAATCAGGAACGCTCTATCCTCTTCTCCTAGGAATTAAGATCCCCCTTCTCCCAGGAATTGAGAATATCCATCTGTCAGCCGATGTTGACTCCGCCTCGTCAGCCGAGTTTGATCTAGGATTGAAAATATTCCCATGCCCCCTTCTTTCTATTAGTTGACCCTCATCCGGTGGGTGCGTAGCACGATGCCCAATTCCCACGATGCCCAATTCCTACGATGCCCACCTTGATGTCGACGATTACGAAGATTGCCGAAGAGCGCAACGTTGCCAGGTCGAGAGAAAAATTCAGAAAACACAAGATTCCCACCATGCCCACCTTTCATGTATTCCCACGATGCCCAATTCTCACCATGCCCACCTTCTTCAAATTCCCACCATGCCCACCTTTCATGCATTCCCACGATGCCCAATTCTCACCATGCCCACCTTCTTCAAATTCCCACCATGCCCACTTTTCATACTTTCCCACGATGCCCAATTCCTACCATGCCCACCTTCTTTGGATTTCTACCATAATGAAGGTGGGCATGGTGGGAATTGGACATCGTGGGAAAGTATGAAAAGTGGGCATGGTGGAAATCTAAAGAAGGTGGGCATGGTGGGAATTGGGCATCGTGAGAATGTATGAAAAGTGGGCATGGTGGGATTCTAAAGAAGGTGGGCATGGTGGGAATTGGGCATCGTGAAAATGTATGAGAAGTTCATGATGGGAATCTTGTGTTTCCTGAATTTTTCTTTTGACCTGGGCAACGTTGCGCTCTTCGGCTTCGTAATCGTCGACATCAAGGTGTCGTAGGAATTGGGAATCGTGGGAATTGGGCATCGTGGGATGCTCCCCATCCGGTGGCATGTGTGTCCAAGATGAGCCATTTTAAAATTCGGGATTTTAACATGACTGATATAGTCCGACCACTTTAACTTTGGACTTTGGGCGTGACTCATTACGCATATTCAATGCATACGCGACCACTCTGACAAAGTCAACGTAGTCGGACTCTGGAACAATTTCAATTCGTTGATCAATCAATTCAAATGATGAAATTTCCTTCATTAGCCGAGTTGTGTGTCCATAGATTGAAAATAATCCCATCGGTCGAATTGTCACCGAAATACGTGGGTGCATGCATGTCAACCAACTCATTTCAATCCTTAAGTGGGTTCTAACATGCGTCTAGGATCAAAAATAGATGGTGTGGGATAGAACTCATCTAAGGATTGAAACGAGTTGACACGCAACGACATATTTCAATGATAACCCGACCGATTGGGTTATTTTTAATCTATGGGCACACGACTGGACTAATGAGGACAATTTATCATTTGAATAATCAACAAATTGAATTTGTTCATATATCAGTCAAGTTAACATTCCCAAATTTAAAAATGTCTTACCAGATGAAACGGGTCAACTGGGTAGATGGAAATATTTTCAATCCCTTATCTTTTTTTGACCTGGGATGATGCATTTCAACTTACCGGGTTGCTGATATGCTTAGAATGAAGGTATTAAAATTGGAGCATATTAGCAAATTATATAACGTGGTCGCTATTTGTCTAGTCGACCCATTTCTATTATCCTACTAGTTATTAGTTGTACCTAATTAGTTTTTCTATTCTAGGTGAAACCAAGAATAAGTGACGACGACGACAAATTGTTACTAGCATTTCTGAGCTACGTCTCGGCGCTCGAAGTTTCTGCACAAGAAGTGTAAAAACCTAATCAAGATTCAAGATTGCATCGATATCAATCGACTTACTGTGCTGTTTTTTTCTGCTGTAAATAATGATTTAGTGTTAGGATAATTACTTATATCTAAGATTTAGGAGTTCCGTTTTTTTTTCTATTTCGGCATTTTGACTAGATTTATGAAGTCATTAAATGTTTTTCTTCAAAAACTGTGTGTGTAATTACTAAAAAAACCTAACCTGACTGGTATAGTAACAGCCGGCTGCAAATTTCTACCATTATCTGATAATGAAATGACATAGTTTGCCCTGAAGGCACTTAAAAATGTATTTCAAGGAATGGCATCTGTGCCGATCAGTATGCAATATTATTGAGAAATGACACTTTACTATGCGGTTATTTGCATTAAATATCGCTATTTGATAACAAGATGAGATTAGAGGGACCATCACTTTGATGTTCTGGGTTCATCAGATATTATGTTTTGACAAGGGCGAAATTAATCTGTCAACAAAAATGAAATTTAAACTTTTTTCCCGTCACAAGAAAAAATGTGTTTTGCCTAGCATTTGACTCAACGTAAGGGGTGGCACAAGTAAAATCAGATGGCATAATCAGGAAATTTATATCACCCAATTTTTTTATGATTCCCCTCAGGATAGTGATTGGGACAGGATATTATGTAATATCATTATCAAATGACCATGGAAATTTGCAGGCGACTCTTGAACTAGTAGCTAATAAAAAACAAGTGTGGTTGTCACAGAGGTGGGTTAATGACGTGGGTTTAGGTGAAGTAGATTTCTGCTTTTTAAATTCCTTTTTTCTAATTTTGACATGTAATTTGATACTTTTCAAGTTTTGATACGTCCGACTTTACCTAACTAGTTGTGTAAAGTAAAATATTACATATCTAATGATGAAATATTCATTTCAACACCAGTTACTTAATGAAAAATATGGATTTTCGAAGAGAATAGTGCATTTTGTGTTGCTTCCTCAATATCACTTGAGAAATCTGAACTGGAATCAGCTATTTTCCACCCATGAAGATATCAAACGAGTCTATTTCGTGAATTTTGTCGCTGATTTGTGACCACATTATGTCATTATTTCTCTTTTAGCGAAATTGTGCATAAAAGTTTTAAAACATATTGTACATAACACGTTGGGAAACGCATTTTGTGTAACTCTGTGTTTTGCTGAATCACGCTTCGCTCGTCCCGCAAAATCCCATCATCAAACAAAATGACGCGTTGCCTAACTGCTCACGTAAATATCTATTTCAAACCAGAAATCTACCTTCCTACAACCTAAACCATGCCCTGCCACAAAAAAAACATACGACATACATCTCACTCACCCTCCGACTCTTCTCAATCCGTCCTCCACACCGTCTCCACCTCGTCCGTCCTGTACCTTTGCGTCACTCCCGCCTCCTGCCACGGCATCGCGACGCCCGCCTTGAACATCTCGGCGCCCGCGTGCGCTATCATTACGCCGTTGTCGATGCAGAAGCGCTCGTCGGTGGCGAAGAGCGCGCCGCCCCTCTCTGCGCACATCGCCCCCATCATCTGTTGCAGGCGCTCATTGCAGCCGACGCCGCCGCAGATGAGGACTTCGCTAGATCCGCAATGGGCGAGGGCGCGTTCGGTCGTTTCCACTAACATGGCGAATATCGTTTCCTGGCGAAAAGAAAGGGATTCGTGTGGGAAAATCAGCACGGATTTGAGATTTTGTCATTAGCCGGGGTGACATGCACTCATGGATTAAAATGTTCCTCATTAGCTGAGTTGGCATTCTCCCTCGAGTGTAAGTATTCGACCAATAGGCGTCTAGCGACACCGTTTCCACTTTGGCTTTGAGACTTCCGAACATTGAAATATTCCTGGAGAAAAAACATCATTGAAATACATTTATCAGGGAAAAAGGAAAATGGAACAAAAAAAATTGAAAAAAGGGTAGGATGAGTAGGGATTCGAACCCGGGACCTTTCTATCCATGGCACCCACGTACCTCATTTAGCTATCGTAGTTGTTGCAAAAATACGTTATGCGCATGCAGAAGTCTCAAAGCAAAGTGGAATCGGTGCCGCAAGACGCTAGAATTCCTCTATTGAAGATTGGAAAGTTCTTCATTAGCCGAAATGACAATATCCCATGATTAAAAATCCTCTCATTTGCTGAGTATACATGCGCCCATGATTGACCACTTTTCTACCTTGAACGAGAGAAAGGAAATTTCTCTTCTCTTCCATATTTCTGTTCAGTGCTACCAACGTGGCTGCATCAAATATAGAAAGATCCGATAACTCTTTCCTCATCTAACATCTGGTTTGTGCCACTGAACTATTTTTGAATTTAGCAGTGTCAAATTTAACGATATCAACAAAAAAAAAGACATATCACATTGAAAATAATCACATTGGTAGCATTAAAGAGAAATATGGAAGAGGAGAGCACTCTGCTCACTTTCGTTCAAGATAAAAAAAACTTAATGGGCTTCAACATTATTAATTGTCCACCAAACCGCGCTACTGAAACGTGAGGTCAGAGTTGGTAGAACTGATAAATATATTTCTTATTTTCCTGTCATTTGGCCTCTTCCAGCAATATCTTCTTCTCCGTCAATGTAAGAATTGGTGCTAAAGTTCCTAATTGAGAGTAAAAAACGTAAGTCTGCTCAAGTCTTTCAATAACTTGAGGATTTCTATTTGTTAAAATATTCTACATATCTTTTTTCCAAAAAATTTCGCTAAAACAGGCCATAGCCTTCAGAGCTATCCAGCAAAATTTTATAATTTCTTACATTGACCTTGAAATGTTAGCTCTCATTGAGGCACATTATCACTAAGAAATCAATCCTCTAGCCGAGTTGATAATCTTTCAACATTAAAAAAGTTAATAATAGCCGAGTTGATGTTTTCCCTTGATTAGAGATTGAAAAGTTCCTCATTAGCCCAGTTGATATTCTCCGTCAACTAAAAATGTCCTCATTAAAAAAGTTGACGCTCTCTCTCAAAATTGGATATGCCTTTATTAGCTGAGTTTACAGGCACCCATGATTGAAGATTAAAAGGTCATTTAATTCATCATTACCATTAGCAGAGTTGACATTCTCCCTCGAATGAAGATTTCAATAATGCCAGGTTGAAAGTTGCCCAGTAATAAAATGTTCCTCATTAGCCGAATTGACATTATTCCTCGTTTGAAAATTAAAAATTACCTCATTAGCTCATTTTCATCCGTGATGTTACCTCGGCTAATGAGGAAACTTTCAATCTATGAGGTTTCAATCAACAAGAAATTATCCGAGTATAATCAAAGATATGACTGTAAATACAAGTATGCAAAATGTTCAAAATTCACTGCAAAAATTTCGAAGGCGTATTTTTCAGACCAAAATAAAACTTTTCCTATAAACCTAACAAGCAAAATTCATTATTTTGTATAGAGGAAAAATAGAAAAAAAACCTAAGAAGTATCCTCTTCGAGTTGAATTTCCCCAAGTGTCTAAAGAGCATTGTCTCTAACTAAACTCACCTGCAATGAAAAACACAAATCCTCCGGTGTCCATCCATCCTCCAACAAACTGTCAGTCTTCTCCTCCATGTAAGACAATATCCCCGAGAAGCTGACGTCCATGCCCTTGACGCAGTAGGGCAGCTGCAAGAACCTCTTCCCCTTCTTCGCCAGCTGCTCGATGTTGTATCCGGGACTGGGATCGTTCGGAATTTTCAACACCCTGGCGAACCTGTCCAGGCAATTTCCTACCGCGATGTCGATGGTCTCGCCGAATATTCGGTACCTTTGAAGGGTAGGTTGCGTTCGGCCCAATTTTCGATTCGCCCAATTTTCGATTCACCCAATTTTCGATTCGTCCACCATCTCCTAATATACCCGTAATGTATGCGTTGTGGAAAAATCTGAATGAAGAATCATTCTGGGCTTATCATTATAAAATATTTCAATTTTTTGATACACACATAATATGTATGTATGGTACATATTTCGGTTTACCCAATTTTTGATTCACCCAATTTTCGATCGCCCAATTTTCGATTCACCTCAAATTCGATTCACCCAAATTTCGATTGACCCAAATTTTGATCGACCCGAATTTCGACGTAATATAAGGAAGGAAAATATTCTTTTCTGCATAAGGAAGCTAACCTAATCTACCTAACTCAGCCTAAATGAACGTTCTTCCTAAAATGTATATTTTTCGCATACTTAATTACTTGAGAGAACATAAGAGAATTATTTTTTAAAACAATCTAACCTTACTCGGCCTAAGTGAATGATCTAACCTTACTCTGCCTAAATGAAACTTCCTGAAAGGTATATTTTTCGGAAAATTACTTGAAAGAACAAATGAGACCCTTTTGTTCAACTAATCTAACTTGACTCGTTCAAATGAACCCTCATCCTAGAATGTATATTCATTTTTCAACAATCGAAAATCAGGTGAATCAAAAATTGGGCGAATCAAAAATTGGGCGAATCAAAAATTGGGTGAATCGAAAATTGGGCGAATCGAAAATTAGGCCAATCAAAAATTGGGTGAATCGAAAATTGGGTTGATCGAAAATTGTGTGAATCGAAAATTGGGCGAATCGAGAATTGGGCGAATCGAGAATTGGGCGAATCGAAAATTGGGTCAAACGAGACGTTCCCTCTTTGAAAAGAAATATTCTCAGATATACAGGGTGATTTAAGAGTAAGCGACTTATCCGTTTGGTTGCGTAATCCTTGCAAATGATTCCTAAGGAACCTACGCCTCTTTGAATAGGACACCTTAAAGACGATTTTTTCCATACAGGGTGTTTCGAAATTCGACTGACAACGCTTGACAGATGATTGGCCTCCTGATTTCATAATTATTGAGATAGGGACATACGGTACAATTGTGATAAAATATATATAGGCCAAACTAGTTAAGCAAATTAATAATGTTAGAAAATCGGTTTGGTTAGTGGTAAAACAGTGTTACTTTTCTATAGGCAAGCTATCATAGGCGTGTTTATAAATCAAAATTATTTAATAAAGAATAGGTCTCATCTGGTTATCAGATAGGTGAAGGTCCACATCCCACGTTATCCTCTAATAATTGTAAAGGGTTTCATAAAAAATCTTCTTCAAGGTGTCCTATTCAAAAGGGACTAGTAACTTCGTTAGGAAGGATTACGGCCCCGAAATTATACCGCTCATTTTTTAATCACCCTGTATTGATTTTTTTTTCACGCCCTGTATGATGAACATCAACAACTGACAGAAAAATACGATACCTCTTTCTAGCATAGGCTATGATTTGAGTGTTGCCACCGCTGACGTAGAGCACGGTGGGGTTCTTGGCTCCAGTTATGAGTCTGCCCATTTCAATGTCTTAGGAACATTAAGAAAATGGAATAGCTGCTAATTCACATTTAGAAATTATAATCAGTTTAATGACTGAGGAGTGTTAGGAATAGATAAGAGGATAATCCTAAGGAATATAAGAGAATGGGCTGGAGATATGTTTATTTTTTTATTCTTGATTTCAACAATGATGCTTTCAGTGTCATTATTTTTCAAAAATTTTCTGAATGGATTGAGGTTTCGAAAATAACAAACAAAATGAGGATATAAGCCTTCTGGACCTGTGGTCTGGAGATTTGAACATAACAGAATTTGTCTGGCTATAAATATTCATGAATCACAATTTATTGCTCTTCTAATATGTGGAGATTCCTATTTGCTATGTTCTCAATTAAAGATTTTTTGAGAAATAAGAAAATCCGAGAAAATCATAGTTAAAATATAATACAGAAACTATTATACTGGCAAATACCAAAGAATAATTAATTATATCTTCCATATAGGTATTGAAAATAATATATCTAATTAAGAGAAAATATATTCTCTATAACATTCATTGAAAAATAGTTAATCATTTATCGTTTACTAGAATCAATTGGAATATAATTGATGGGAATATGTTTAATGGAAATAGTTGACTAGCTACTGAAAAAACATTCAGATCCCTAATATAAAAAAAAATATTCAAAAACCTTGAAGAAAATGTTGAATTCATCTAGATATTTTTAGAAAAACTATTATAGCTGGTCTAATGAAAAACTTTGTATCTTGAAAATATGACAGAAAAACTATAGGGGTATTCTTGATCCTGACCTACCAGTATTTCATCATATAGGTATTATGTTTCATACTTATTTCATCCAAACATAGACACATGAAAGTTCAGGTTCCTTGATGTTATTCTTTGCTAAAAAGCAGGATTTTTTAAATGCCCTATGTGAGACAGGAGACTCCCAGTCACTTAACAACTAATAAGGGGGGCCAAAATGAAAAATAACATCCTGTTCAAGGTAGGACCACCCAGTATTTTGTAGATTTATTTCTTGCAGTGGTTGATACCCAGTATGGATTTATTTAACAGCTGAGCCACCCTATAAGCAATAATTGCCACAGTGGCCAGAGGCTTAGCTCATTCCTGGCATCCTGGCCCATAGGTGAAGTAGACCACATCTATGTCTTTAGACCAGACTGGTCTTTCAAGATGACCAGCTGAGGGAGAAAAACTACCCAAAATGTGTACACTGTATTTAAATATCTAGCAATTAAAAAGTACTTAAAATATTCAAAACTGGTACTTAAGGTACCAAAAATATAAATAATAAATAGTAAACAGGTATTTAAGTTAATAATTCTAGTACTGAAATACTCAAAAGCCTAATCAATTGTACTTAATGTATTGAAAATGATACTCAAAGTACTTAAAATTCTATGGTGTACACCTATTTATAGGGCTGTTTCCTCCTTGTGACCAGCACATGGTCTTTAGGAAAACTATAGTGGTATTCCTGACCTTATTTCAATTTATATTGAGGAAAATTAATTCTCTGATTCATTTCATTCAATAACATAAATACAAAAGTTTGGGAAATAACATTTATACAAGGTTCAGGTTCCATTATATTGTTCTTTGCTAAAGAGCAGGATTTTTATTATGGCAACAAATCAGGAGCCCATAATGCAAAATGGCATCATGAAACTGATAATAGTCCTGTTCCAGGCAGAACCACCCAGTATTTCATAGATTTATGTCTTAAAGGATACGACCAATGCAGTGGTTGACCCCCAGTAAGGGTTTATTCCATAGCTGAGCCACCGTCCTTGCGACAATAGCCACAGTGGCCAAAGGTGCCCCCATTCCCGGCCCTTTGGTATAGCAGACCACATCTATATCTTTCCACGTCAGACCAGACTGGTCCATGGCCTCTTTCAACACGGCCAGCACGTTGTCTTTGTGGTGCTGGGCCGTCTCTTTCGGCAGGAATCCTTCGCCGGGGGGCGTTATGTACGTTCGGCGGCAATTCGAAAGGATTTCGCCGTCTCTGACGATGCCTATGCCTAGTTTGTTGGCGCTGCCTTCGAAGCCGATCGATGTCACCATTTTATCGACGAGTTGAACTCAAATTGAAGATGCTGGTGCATTTAAAATACGTAAAATACTAAAATCCTGGACAACTTTCGTTTGAAATGTGAAAAAATATTAAGAGTAAACAAAATCTTGACCATAACCTCATTAGTCATTCTTCTTCTTCTATGTTTCTTGGCCTCTCCTCTTTGATTGGACATCCAGAATGTCGGCTACTGAGAAAGGAATCTAGTCAGCTCTGAGGGCCAGCAGAGCTGACTAGATTCCTTTCTCATTTAGCCGAACTTGTTTTAATGACAGAAATTAAATGTCAAAAATAGCCTAAATGACAGATTAATAAGTGTCAAATAGTTTACTCTAATTTGACACTTTCATCATCTGTCAATTAGCCTATTTGACACATATCTTTCAAATATAAAAAATATCGCATGTCATTTATACGCGTTTCCATTTACATATTCCATAATGCCAGTATAACCAGTATTACATAATTTCTGTTATCCTTCCTGAGTTTACTAAGAGTCTTGGTAACACCTCAAGCGCAGATTATTACAAAACACATAAGGTTTTTCATGAAAATTACCAAAAGTTCACTGTCAAAAATGTTATGGCAATTTGAAACAATATTTGAAATGAATAATATGACAAGAGCGTACGCAGCGCCTTCTAGATGTTACATGAAAATTAATACGAAATTATGATTCCCCACGTCAAAAAAACCCCGGGTACCAAATTTCGTGCAAATAACTTTTTTTGCAAGTGATATTTTTAAAATGCGAACAAAAAAAATCTTTCAACACCTTTTGTATCTCCGAAACGAAGCATTTCCAGACACAAGTTCATATACAGGGTGTTCCTTAATGATATGCTAATATTCAATAAGGGGCTGATTCTTCGACCCATTTCAAGAATAAAACTTCATATTCATTCATACTCCGATGTCGTGAATGTCCTAACTTTTGAGATACAGGGTGTCAATAATGTTGAAAATACACATAGATTTTTTTTTTGTCCACCCTGTATAGCTTTTCGTGATGGCAAAATTCAGTCTGCTATATGACTGAATCGGTATACAAATTTCAAAATGTTACATACGGTGGTTATCCAGTAATTAATGTCCTGAATGGCGAGTACTCATGCATACATCAAAATTTGAAGTCTGGTCTCGTTTTTCCGTTTTTTCTCGAAAACGAAGCGTTCTATCGAGTATCAACAAGTGGATCTTTTTTGTACATAATTAAATAGCCTTTTATAGCATTGTATGAAATTTGAGAATTTTTCGTCGTTGCTCACTTTTTGGTAAAATATAAACAATAATTATCCCGTAACGGTGCCAATGGTAGAGAAAATGAGAATGTTTGTACATCAGCAAATGCACCTTGATGCAAGAAAGACGTGTACGAAATTTCATACAGATGTATACAATATATTGTCTCAGTTATCATAAAAAAAACTGAATATTTTTCAAAACTTCATCACCCTGTATCTCAAAAGTTAAGACTTTTAGGACATACGTTCATATGAAGTTTTCTTCTTAAAATGAGTCAGAGAACCACCCCCTCAAATATTAGCATGTCTTTAAGGAACACCCTGTATAGACTTTTTTTCTTGAATACGTCACCTGAATATTTGAACGTCCTTAATGCAACAAAATCTATCACATATGAACTGCTCAAATTAGAATAACAAATTATTTTTGGGGGGTAAATAATTCTCCACCACCTTTACGTACATTTTTTTGAAAAAAATGATTAATCATCCTGTACATATGTTTATCATTTATTTCTGGGGTAAAAAAACGGTAGCAAGGTCTGGATAGATAACAATTATTTACAAAGTAATATACTTTCGCAATACAAACATTAGAGTAAAAACCAAACATTTGACTAGATACAGAATGCGCTCCCTCACACATCTCCACTATTCCCCATTCCATATCATCGATGCCTGCCCTCTCTCAACATCACCTGGATCTCCTCCAGACTTTTCCCCTTGGTTTCTGGCACCACGAAAACCACAAACAAAATCGCCAGCCCGTTCACCCCCGAAAAACCCCACACCGTCCAAGACATTCCGAACCTTTCCACTGCCAAAGGAAACATCAAATTCGCCAGGAAACCGCAAATCGTCATCTGGAAAGCCACCAAAGAATTCATGTAGTACTTGACGCTAGGCGGGAACACCTCGCTGGCCACAGTCCAAGAAATAGGCCCGCAACCTATCTTGAAACTGCCCAACAACACCAGAACCGAGGCTACTGGCAACCAAAAAAAATTAGCTAAATCGAAGTTGGAAGCTTGGAGGTAAAAGTAACCGCCCAGGATTATCATGGCCGCTAGCTGTCCCAAGTAGGACAGCCCCAACAGTTTCTTCCTAGCCACCTTATCGGCTATATTGGTAATAACAAGCGTCACAAATAGCTGTACCGCACCGACAATCATCACCATCTTGTAGCCAGCCCAAGAAGTTTTCGTGGAATCGAAGATGGTCTGCATGTAAGACCCGATACAACCGTGCCCGTTCATTTGCTGGAAAAACATCAACCCCAGGCTTATAACCAAAGATCTTTTCACTTCTAGCGACTTGAGCGCCTCACCCCAGGACACCTCCAACTTGGATTCCTGCACGCTCTCTATCACACCCTTCAACTCCTCCAACTGTCTACCGGACTTCAACAGCGCTTGCTCGGCCTCCTGCAGTTTATTCCGCTGCACGTAATACCCCGGAGTTTCAGGAACAAACCACCCGAAAAGCAATAAGAACAGCACCGAGGGCACCAGCGAGACCATCGCCAAACTGCCAATAGTGACGTAAGGACCGACGACGTACAAAAACAGCTGCGACGCGATGATGTTGAGCGACAGGATGATGCTAGCACGCCCTCTGTTGGCAGGATCAGACACTTCAGCCACGAAACCGGGCACTATGGAAAAAACGCACCCGGTGCCCATGCCCAGCAGAAACCTCGCCGCATAAAAGTGCACTACTTCCCTGGCAAAAATCAAGATAACGTTGCCGATGAGTTGCGGCAGCGAGAAGAGAAGCAAAGTCCGCTTTTTGCCCAGTTTGGAAGCGACATAGCCGGTGACCAGGGGTCCGCAAAGGGCGCCGAGGTTGTGCAGGGACGTTATCCAGGATATTTCCTGGATGGTGGCAGGACGGGCCAGCGGGTTGAATTCCCGGCCGCTGTGGCCTTGAAGTTTCGGCACTGAGGGGGAGGACCAAGCGAAGGCCATTCCCGAGACTGCGGTCATCAGATTTACTGTGGAAAAATAAATGAGTGATGAACACTTTCCGTTTGTTTAGTATATTCTTCTAAATCTTCATGAGACCCACATTCAAAAGATTCTCATCAGGACCATATTCATTCTCATGTTTATTTAGTATTTAGTGAAACAATATACAGTCACCTGCAATAAAAAACGGCCATCAAAGAATTTATCCAAATCGTTCGCCCTGTAACTCTTTCAATTCTTGTTCGATTTTGATGAAATTTCGACCAAAACTTATATTCATGTTTTGGAATGTTAGCCTGAATATTGGTTCCTAAAGAAAGCTGATGGCTTGATCATTATACGGGGAAAAACAGGAGTTACTCTTTCACCCTTTTAACTTCTCAACGTCCTGTGGCAAAAGTGAATAGCTAAACTTTGCTGGATTTTCTGCAGGTGAGTGTAGTTGTTTTTCAAACGCAATATTCAAAAATAAAAATTACTTTAGTACAACCTTAATATACTATAACAACCCTGTTAAATGTTTCTATTGATGAATTTCACACATCCGTCTATGTTAACAGCCCAACAGTCAAAATTACAATAAAATAAATTCAATCAAATAAAAATTATCAATCGGATCACACCATACAACATAATTATAATGCAATATAAACATTGTGATTATTTTAATCGCAATTTTACTTACCTGAAAGCACTGTTAAAAGTGTAAAACGTTCTCTCCTCTTTTTTTCATCTGCCATTTTTGCTTTCTTCAAAAAATGAAACAATCGGGAAATATATCCCAGTAAACTCTTACTACTTGAATTCAAATCTGGATTATTGTACTTATAAGAATTAAATTTTGCATTGGCACGTCAACTATGTTTATTTACTACATTTATCTCAACCAAGACAATAGACTTGCGTAAAGGAGAATTTGATTAAGACATAAATAAGCCCTGATTTAACAAAATATTACTGGGTTGACTATTCTTTTTTCCAAATACATTCGAATGTTTTTTTTTTCAATTGGAATCAAACGTTTCAATCAATTTTGGCGAAAAAAACGAAAGGTTTATCCAGTGCAGGTAAAAAAAAATTATTGATATTCTCTTCAACATGTTATCTTATATTGCAGCAGATACAAAAATATAATGATTATATAGCTTTCCAATCTAATAAAACATTTTTTTTTATAGAATATACATAAAAATAATTTCAACTGAATTCTTCATAAAAAAACTTAACATAATAAATATAATTTGTTGTAGTACCCATGGAAAATTATTGATCAACCAGAACAATTTTCATGTTATTTCACAGTTTTTCGAACCTATACCTTTATTGATTCTTAATGAAATTGAAAAAATCGCGATTGTTAATGAAAGAATATCAATGACAAAAAATATACGCAAAATCAAAAGTCAAAATAACTTAACAACCAGTGAAGTTTTGGTTTGTGCTAAAACGGTTTTCAATGATTCAGAAGTGTTCAATCCCCATACATCTAGTGGACCCCTACTCATACATGCAATCCTAAAAAATATAACAAATCAAATAAGGACAACTAAAAAAATAATCAATAGATAGGAACAAAAATAATAAACTCAAAAAAAAGCAAAAAGCTTGAAAGAATAATTAATGGATAAGAAACTAAATTAAAAATAAATTGAAAGGAACAAAAATAATAAAGTGAAATAACATAGGAAAAATAGATAGAACAAAAAGGTGGGGTGTTTATCAAACGGAGTACGCGTTTTTACAGTCCAGTACGATTCTCAATCAATAGCATTGTCATTGTCAATAATTTAATATATTTTAGGTTCTCCTGAAGATGGTTATTTTATCATCATTTTCGAAACGGTTTGAGATGGAATAACGAAATTTCGTATGTTGCAGCTCCCTTAGTGATTATTTTCCTACTCATAATTGTGGAAACTTTTGTTTTTGGTCTAGGAATCTACTGTGAAAGATTCACACCATACAACTTTCACTTTGACATTGTTATTTTATGCATTTGGGGTACGTTTCTTCACTTTTTTTGGCAAATCTCAATGAAAAACCGACAATTTGGCAAAGCTAGAATATGATAATTAGATATGCCAAGAAATAAGTGTAATTAGAAAAATTATTCATCATTTTCTTACCTTCCTCCTGAATTGGAATGCAAAAATTTCCAGTAACTCGGCCTCAAGTTAGTGGGTTCTAAAATAGCTACATGGAATAAAACGGCAGTACTGAAGCAGTATAAGAACTCTGTAAATCCTGGTACCCTTGGTAAAAACCCTTTGTCTATACCTAAATTGTAAGCTATCTAGAAGAAAGAAAAACGAAAAACAAATGTCAAAAAAATCCAATTCAATCCAGCTCATTATCTAAAGTTAGTTTTGTTATTCAGCCCAATGGTAAAAAAAGCAAAGAAAGATTTGTATTAAAAGGCAAAATAAAGAAAAACCATTCTACTACTCACCTGGAAAAAAAAATTGGGTAGGTAATAACAATTTTAATTTATGGCGCAACAAAATACCTACCTTCTTATTTTATCTAAATAATTTATTTTCACTTACAAAAAATCAACAAGGAAGAATAGAAAATACGTAAAAAAGACTGTACATAATTATACGTTTCAAGGCCAAAAAACGTATTTTTTGGTTTTCGTTTTCATTAATGTCCTCTCCAAAGATTGTGACGAATTGAAACCCCAGACATCAAAAGAAACACGCGGCATGCAGGCGATTCTAGAAAAAAACATTCATTTTTCATGTCGGTAATTTTTAGCTTCCCACATATCAACTACAAGAATGGAAGTACGTTTTTGCAAAAAAAGTATTTCATTCAGTATTTTTTTATGTGGGAAGGTAATTCGAGTTTTTTTGTCGATTTGTCGGTTTTTCTTACCTTCCCCCTGAATTAGAATGCAGAAATTTGAAATAGCTAGGTCTCAAATTATCCGGTTCTATTATAGCTGCATGAAAAAGTATTGCCGTACTGAGACAGTACAAGAATTCGGTGAATCCAGGTACTTTGGGAACATAACCTTTTTCAATTCCTAAATTGTAAGATATCTGGAATCACAAGTACCAGGAACTGAGGAATAATAGTTCCTTGAAAATGTATAACTCGATTCGAACAGCTCATTTTCCTATATTCAGAATCATATTTCTTCATGAAGTTATGAACAAAATACCTTATGAGTAAATGAACTTAGGTTAGGTTAATCAAGTTCAACCTTTAAATTGATTTGGTTGAAATTGTAATATTTTTGAGTACTCTCGTAAAAATACAAAATAATGATCAAGTAGTGACAAATTATATGATATATTTTCAAAACTATACTATAACCAACGTAGGTACCTGACAAAATGTACGAAATTTTTCGTGGTTCAATAAAGACTTCTATCTATCTAAACATTGTATATGTTTTTGTTCTATTTTTTCTCTGGGCTCATATTTTCGTTCCTTATTTCAGGTAAAATGCAGAATTAGGCTCCTTCACCATTCTGCTGTCGTCATTGGCTAACTGCCATGTTCACCTGTGACCAGGGGCGGCGAGTTCATGGGGGCATCGGGGCCAATGCACCCATGTAGGCAGTGCGTATGGGTGCAATGCACCCATTGGCCGAAACAGACGTATAAAAAAACAAATTAGATACGGGCGAAATGAGCACTTGTAAATGTTGCACATTGTTGCTGGACAAGTATAGGTAAACAACCATACGAACCGTATATTTGATTCGCGGTCGATGTGTATCCAGGGTTTGACACTGTGCATTGTGTGAAGATATTCCGATTTAAATTTTAGACATAATGACATCACAGGTTCTAAGTGCCAGTTCGAAAAAGAAATAGAAATGGCGTTTTAAATGAATGAATTAGACATAAATACAGTGGCTGATGAATCCATTGATAATATTACAGTTAGTATAGGAATACCTCTTCGATGAAATAACTGGGGTCACTTGCTAATTTTTTCGAATCCCAAAGTTTCTCTATTCCATTTTTTGAATACTGAATAGATATCAGAATAATTGAATATAATTTTATTTTCGTAGAAATTGAGTTATGTTATTTTTTTTCCATGGTGATGAAACAATTCTTCTATTTCTCATTCTTGTTCATATTAATATACAGGGTGATTCAAAAGTAAGCGGCATCCTTTCAGAGGCGTATTCCTTGCTTGAAAATAAGGCAAAAAGTTCCTATTGATAAGGATCCGAAAATGCTTCCTAAGGGAGCTACGGCCCTTTGAATAGGACACCTCAAAGACGGTTTTTTCTCTATAACTTTAAAATCCTTCACAACAAATTTTTAAAAATTGGTGTACGGCATAAACATTCGATGGTAAATAGGACTCCGTATTCGAAATTTCAGAATTTCATTCAGGGGCGTCACATGCGGGAGAGGGTAAGTGTAAAAATATCCCTTCTTCTCCGGATATTCAGGTTACTGTGATTTCGTTTGGAAATTATTTCGAATACGGAGTCCTATTTACCATCGAATGTTTATGCCGTACACCAATTTTTAAAAATTTGTTGTGAAGGATTTTAAAGTTATAGAGAAAAAACCGTCTTTGAGGTGTCCTATTCAAAGGGCCGTAGCTCCCTTAGGAAGCATTTTCGGATCCTTATCAATAGGAACTTTTTGCCTTATTTTCATGCAAGGAATACGCCTCTGAAAGGATGCCGCTTACTTTTGAATCACCCTGTATAAACCATTAACTCGAAACTCGATTAGTCACAAGAGATTATCTTTTGGTAGAGGTGTTTCACACGTGATGCCAAATAAATAATGCTTTGATCTATCTTGAAATTTAAAGGCATTTGACCTTGAACCAGGAAAAATTTTCGCCTGCGGCGCATAATTTTGTCTTACCCTAACCCCTCAATTTTGGCACCCATTGGACAAAACAAAACTCGCCGCCCCTGCCTGTGACGTTGCCGTTTCCACTTATTAAGTTTTAGAATTCAGAAATCCTGAATTGACCGCATGAGACCCTGTTGTAATATGTCAACCAAATTATTCACGAAACTGATAAGCAATTCAGATGATTTATTTTCGTTTTCAGTTCTGGCTTGTTCGGATGTTCAATTTAGAACAGCAAAATTCATCGTACTTACCTACATTTTCAAAGCTAATCAGTGTGAAACTAGTTTGATGGAAATTCCTTAGATTCCTGAACTTCCGGAATCGCCTGGGAATTCTACAGGGCTTCTTTCAACTGACTATCCACTGATGTTTTTGAGAAGTTAATTATTTTTTCTTTCAGATTGGTATATTTTCGTCACTCAACTTCTTTATTCCAGGCAAAATCATTCGAACGAACCGAATTTGGCACTTGAGACATATTTGAAAATGTTCGTTGTTTAGTTGAAATTTAGTAGCGTAAAAGTAGGGTTAAAGTTAAGGAAGAAGTTAGTTGAATTAGTATAAAATGAGCTGCAAGAATTTAAAGAAATAATGTTTATAGTACACGCTATAGAAGAAGGATGATACAAGAAGACGTAAGCTGTAACCCTGACGTTTTTATCTAATCTCTCTAAAAATAATCAAAGAATTAACAAATTCAATAGGAGAACTAACAGGCCTATTTCACTTGTCAAATGAAGTATTTTTTCATCTCAATAAACAATGTATGAGTAGAAGAGCCGACTGCAAATTTCGACAGTCATCTGATAACGAAATTATATATGTCCAAAGGGCATGTAAAAACATTGTATTTCATCGAACGGCAACTGTGCCAATCACTATCCAGAGCAAAATGGTAAAAAATGGCACTTTCCTGTGCGGTAATTTGCACTTAATTTCGCTATTTGATACCGAGATGGGAATTATGCTATCCGATACCAAATGTTTTTTATCATTTTTTTACTTGTTTTTAGTGAATAAGCTGATAAAAATTAGTTATGGATATGAGAACCTATAAATGTGTGACATGTATGCTTCATCCCAAAAAAATTATGATATTTCTGTAAAGAAAATATCCAAAATACCATATCATGTGCCTATTTGGTATGAGGTTATAATCAGATGATTTTTTACATGCAAACTCATAATCATTCCAAATAATCCCAAACCTGGGGTTATTTGGAATGATATAAAAACATGAGAAACGGGCATTCATAACTTTTTTTTTAATTTGAATTTCAGTCTATAGCATCGATAAACATCTTACCAGTAGCATTGAGACAGATTAATAGTTAACATTTGTTAAGAATACTACGATTTGAAATCGATAAAATACGTTCCAAATATCACTGTTATCAGATGACTGTCAAAATTTGCAGCCCGTTCTTGGACTATATGGAACGATTCAATCAACTTGCATTGTTAATTCCAGTTTTTTTCCGAATTAATAATGTATCAAATTCACTTTTTTTGGATGAAATGTGTGAAAATTCTATCAAGTAAAATTATGGAGCAATTACAACTTACGGCCGTTTTATACAGTATACAGGTGTACGAAAATTATGCGTAAAAAAACAAGGGGGTGATTCTGCATGAGAGAACATGAAATTCATGAGAATATCATATATACGTTGGTCCGGAAATGCATAGTTCTCAAGATACAATGTGTTAAACTTTAAAAAAATTTTTTTTTATTAATGTCTCAAATATACTTCCACCAATTCTCTTGAAATTGGGCAATGATATTAGGCCTGTTCGTTTGTCCTTGCTCTACCTGCTGAACTTGATTTTTTTCTATGACTTTCTTTGTTTACAACATGCCGTAAACAGAGACAACTATGGAAAAAAAATCAACTTTAGCAAGTTTAGCAATACAAACGAACAGGCCTTTAATTTGTCATGAGGGGCTGATTTATCCATAATTGATTTGGAATTGTGAAATCCAGTGGCGTCCCGGCGGCACCCTACCGAATATTATTGTCAATAAAACTGATTTTTTTCGAATTCTATATCTTCATATCCTATTGACCAACTTCATAAACAAGGGTGAAAATATATCCATGTCCATAGACATAGCAAAATTTCATAACAATTCAGGAGACCAAAATGTTGGTCAATAGGTTATGGAGATACAAAATTCAAAAAAATCAGTGGCGCATATTTTATTGACAATAATATTCGGTAGGTTGCCCCCAGGACGCCATTGGATTTCATAATTCCAATTGAATTATGGTTATATCAGCCTCTCATGACGAAAAACCGCTATTTTTTTTTTAAATTCAACACACTGTATGTGGAAAACTCTGCATTTTCAGGCCCATGTATATCTGACATTTTCAAATGGGTAACATGTAAATTACGTTGAAATGCGTCAATCAATAAAAAAGTTATAAAGGAATGAAATTTGAAAAATATGCCGTTTAATCAACCCATCAATTTTTATTACTGAACAGATTTCGATGAAACTGTGATCAGTAATATTTCAAGACATCCTGAATCCAGTGGAGTATACAGAATTTTCATAAAATTCCTGAACATGTATTGGTGGGTTGATTAAACGGCATATTTTTCAAATTTCATTCCTTTATAACTTTTTTTATTGATTGACGCATTTCAACGTAATTTACATGTTACCCATTTGAAAATGTCACAAATCCAGTGGTGTAGTCAGATTTTTTCTAAAAAAATCGCTAGTAATTTTTTTAGATTTTTGACCTTGAAAAATCAGATTAGTTGGCCCTGGAAATGGAGATTTATTCATGATATTTGGTGTCCTAATAGACTTTTTGAATATCTACCTAACAAAAAAAAATCATTCCAATCGGTTGAAAAATGTAAGTTTTATAAGGGTGCTTCCATCTTAAATGGGTCACACTGTATAAAATGAATTTTTTATTTTATCATGTAGAATCACCCCCTTGATTTTTCGCGCATAATTTCCGGACACCCAGTATAGAATTATTATTAGTAAACTATGTGATAATATTACTCTATAAGAAAGAAAGAAAAAGCTTCCGACATACCTGTGCCATTTTCCATAGTACATACAATGAAACGGTACTATCAGGATACCTTTGAAAAGCTATTCCCGCTAAAAGTCCCGCTGGCAATGCATGAACGGGACTATCTTTGCCAGTTATCCTCCTCAAAATACACAGAGTAGCCTAAAATACCTAAAGGTAATCATTCCATGAGTGCGGCTAAAGGAGAAGCTACTTTCCTCCATTAAAAAAAAATTGAAATAGATATACTCTCCGGCAATGAAAACGCCTACCAAAAAAGTTGCCAAATTTGCTCACCCTGTAACTTTTTCAATCCTTGTCCGAAAGAACCCCGCACTAAATCATAGGGAAAGTGGCTCTCGATGATGAAAATCGCTGAATTTTTGGTATGTTTCAGACTTTCATGAACTGTATCAGATCTTCCATTGAAGTAACCTCAAAAAATGGACAGTTTTTCCGATATTGACCTCGAAATGTCAGTTTTTCGAGAGAAAAAAGTATCTGAAAATGGTTGCAATTTTGGGCATGTGAACTGATGAAAACATCCAATTGACCTAACCTCCAAAAATTGACAGTTTTCTCGATATTGACCTCCAAATGGAATTTTTTCAAGAAAAAAATCTCTGAAACTGGCTGAATTTCTGGTATGTTGTAGATAGGAATGAACTGATGAAAAAATCCAATTGAGCTCTCAAAAAATTGAAAGTTTTTGTTCACTGCCGCAACTCGTTTTCACTTCAGATCTCTTTACATATTGTAAATATTTATTGAAATTCACTGCGGGACAACGCGTGATGACGTCATATACCGCGATCAATCCATTGCAATTATACTATACGATACGATTTATGTATTGTGTATACTTCAGTACACAACACTCCACTCCTACTGTGGAAATAAATCCTCAATTCTATGAAGAATTTGGGAATATTCTCGTTGGTTTTTCAGCAATGAAAATCTTAAAGTTTTTATCGGTATCGGTATGTCAATGTCACGTCATCGGCGGCTATATAGTGTTGCTGAGAGGTGATTATGAATGTATGAGTGATAAAATAGATATATGGCATAAATTCGACTAGTGTGTATACCTACAACCCCATTGATTTCGGAAAGACTATATATAACCATCTTTTAAATAATATTTATTTCATTACATCCTCTCTTCGGTTTTCTTCACCTGTGGATGTATCATATGTAGATTTGTTTTTAGAAGAATGAAATGCCAAATACTAATTCGAAAACAGCAACTTTGTCTATTGATTATTGTTCCATTCATCTTATTTTCCATACGTACACTTGGAGGTCAATTTCGAGAAAACTGTAAATTTTTTGAGGTTAGGTCAATTGGATTCAGCGATTTTCATCGAGAGCCATTTTCCCTATAATTTAGTGCGGAGTCCTTTGTGAAATTTCGATCAAATCGTAGTAGATTCATGACCCTGAATGTTAGCCTAAATCTTAGTTTCCGTGAAAAGATACAGGGGAAAACCAAGGTTATTATTTCACCCTTTACTTCTTAACGCCCTGTGGCGGAATTGAGTGGTTGAACTTGGCTTCATTATGCTTTGGATTGAAAGGCGATTACTTCTAAACACCATAGTTTTTATTGACGTCAATATCTTATTTTTAAGAGAAGATACGGGTGTTTTGAGAATGTGTGGCATTCCTCCATAAACTTATTGTTTAACAACTTGAAGAATTAATATCACCTATTTTCTCGTGGAACAAGAGAGGAAAAGCGCATTTCTTTTTGTGGAGAATTTTCGTGTTTTTCCGCGATATTATACTGCATGCCGTTGTAATAATTGATGGCATTCAATCCGCACCGGCCGAAAGGGTTCAAAAGGGTTATGAAAAACTGAAGGAAATTAAAGGGGAAGAGCATCAACAAGCATAGTTCAACACATATTTGCAACAAATAATGTTAATATGATTGTTTTACATGTTGAAAACGGCTGAATATCATTAGCAATTTCTTTGCTTCAGATAATTCCATGGACCTCAATTTAGGAAACTTATTTTGAATATTGTCAATGAAAAAGTGAGGTTCCTGGCAGATATTCAGGGTCACTTTCACTATTACATTTTTTTTGTAAAGGAGGAGAGTAACATCATCTTCTAGGAAGAAACAATTCGTCTCTGGAATCACAATAATTGATTTTTTCAAAGTTGATTTTTTGGAGACGAATATTTCCACCTAGATAGGTATAATTACCCTGAAGAGGCCAGAGTAGGCGCCTAGGAATGCGGCTAGATTTAGCGTTTCTTTCCTGAAAATCAAAGTTCTGAAAGAGCTAGGCGAATTGAACGCCCTTTTCATATTAAGCACCAGTTTCAGCGATATTTGTATGGCCAGGCCAACGCTAAACATTTTACCTGCACCCTGAAATAACAAAAATATTGGGGCCAAATACTCAGAGATGGAATTCATTTCAATTATTTTAAATTCACAATTATTTTTCAGGTCATTATTTTTTCCTCAAAATATCGTGATATGATTGAATTTTCATAATATTGATCATCAGATTATAGTCATAGCTATGTAACATTCTTCAGCTGATAGAATGCATTGATTTATTTTTCATTCATTCAATAAGAATTTTTCGTAATGAATATTACTTGACACTTATATTTGACGAAAAAGTCCTTCAACAATTATTCAATACAAAGGGGAGTTTAGATTTTTTCTGGGACGAAAAAATATGATCCGTCCTGGTAACTCAAAATGAGCTGAAATTTTGTATAAGGCAATGAATTAAATTTCACATAAAAAATGCCTGATATGATAGCGAAAAAAAATTCACCCCTTTTTCAATCCAATGAAAACCCAAAAGTGTATTTGAAAAAAATATTCTATTACTCTTTCAAGATATGCCACAAAAACTTTACCGTTTGAAAAAAAAAATAAACATTATCATAAAATGAAGTTATCGATGCTTTTGTTGGATATCTCAGTTATCTTTGGAGGTAGAGTGTTGCGGTTTTCACATTCCTGCCTTACTTTTTTGTCAAACAAATAATGTCGCAAAGCGAATTTTCACAGTCCTTCACGTTTTTGAGACACAGGGCGAAGTTGAAAATTCTCGCTTATTGAGCACCTCCCGTATCTTGGTTACTTTTCAATTTATCGGCAGGATGAGAACGTGGCCTTATATTACTTTGTATGATACAGTGGCGTACTCATTTAATTTCCATAATCGCTCATTTTTAGAAAATTAAGCCAACATATTTATTTTTCCAAATCGAACACCCTGTATATTTCCATCCAGTTCGATTCAGATTTCTTATAGCTCATCGAAAATATATGATAGTTGAATGTTTTTTTTATTTGAAAATATAATTATTTTGGATCCATTTTCTTGAAAATGAGCGATAACAGGAATAAAATGAGTACGTCACTGTATAGTCACCGATAAGTTGAAAATTAACCAAGATACGGGAGTTGATTAAAGTGAGATTTTTCAACTTCGCCCTGTATCTCAAAAATACGAAGGACTGTGAAAATTTTGATCGCGGCATTATTCGTTTTCTCGAAAAAGTCAGGCAGTTATGTGAAAACCGCAACTCTCTATCTCCAAAGATAACAGATATCCCGCAAAAACATGGAAAACTGGACACACTGTACAGGGTTATCCATCCAGAAGGCCCACCCCCTATATCAACGTTATTTTTTATCGAGAGAAAACAAAGCCTTTCCACAGCCCTTATTAGAAGTTTTACAGGGTGATCCCTAAAAGCTTGACAAACCACAAATTGACTTTTTCAAATGGAATACCACACACTGTTTTATCACTAACCAAACCGATTTTTTACACCTCGACACGTGTTTCGCTAACTATGATAGCATCTTCAAGAGAAGATTAAAACTGAAAAAAAATATGGAATGGAAACAGGATGTTCCATTTAAAAAAAATCAATTTGTGGTTTGTCAGGCTTCTAGAGATCATCCTGTAAAACTTCTGATAAGGGCTGTGGAAAGGCCTCATTGCGGCATTCAACTTCCGCATGTAATAATAATAATAATAATAATAATAATAATAATAATAATAATAATAATAAATCGTCTTTATTCATCATTTGCAGAAAAAAAATTGCACAAATAAAAATCAAAAGACAAAGATAATTTGCCATACCTTATATACCTATCTGCAATGGTGAATAGGCGGAGTATCAGCAGAAAGCTATTTTTCAACTTAACCCCATATCGTTTTTCTTCTCGATAAAAAATAACGTATATTTAGTGGTGGGTCTTCTCAATGGATAACCCTGTATACATGACACTATGTGAAAATCAATAGCATCTGATTCGAGATTTTGTTTTGAAGTTCACAATATCTTGATCAGTTTTCCGAGATATCGAGTATTGTAAGCAGTGTACAGTCGTCTTCAGAAAACATGTCGCACATGGACGATGATAGCATTCTTAATAACCCTTGCAATAAGAGCGCTGACACCGTCCAACCGCGACATGACCTCGGAAGACGACTGTACATCAGAGTCACTGGATGGATGGTATTAGTTAGATATACCATCCAGTGACTCTAGTGTACAGGGTGGGCAAAATTGGGCGTTTTCACGGGGTATCTCAATAACTAAAGGAGTTATCGAAAAACCGACATACATGTTACTAGTTCGATTTTAAAGATATTTAAAATGGTGCATTCGGAATTTTGATATCTTCATTCGTTTCAGAGATACAGGAAGAAATTGAAAAATTGCCGATTTCGTTTTTATTTTCTGAGTGCTTCATGGTGGAGAATATTGAAAATTTTCGAAAATTTATTGATACAGTATGATGCGAACAATCCATTGGCACCATTAGACATTTTATACAGGGTGACATTAAAAAGATGCGGCATCCAATTATATTTTTTCTTATGGAACACCCTGTATATTTTGGCACAGTTAGATAGTACCAAGCGTTCCAATTTCAAATATATATATAACTCTACCTTTTTCTTCCACAACTCCAGAAATATTCGCAAAAATATATTCAGCATGTCACATTTTTCATGGTTGCACCTCCACCTTCCCTAATTAGGTAAATTATTATTTGTCTTTTTACTGAATGTGCGAGCAGTGTTATCGCTTTAGTTATTCTCCCACAATTGCTAATTTATGAATACAACCTTAATGATTATTACGGAAGATACCATGAAAAATATGACACACTGAATATAATTTTTGCGAATAGTTATGAAATTGTGAAAGAAAAAGGTAGTAATATATTGAAATTGGAACGCCTGGGACTATCTGACTGTGCCAAAATATACGAGGTGTTTCATAGGAAAAAATATAATTGGCTGCCGTATCTTTTTAATGTAACCCTGTATAAAATGTCTAATGGTGCCAATGGTCGCATCATACTATATGAATAAACTTTCGAAAATTCTCAATATTCCCCACCATAAAGTACTCAGACAATAAAAACGAAATTCAATTTCCCCCTGTATCTCTGAAACGAATGAAGATATCAAAATTCCGAATGCGTCATTTTAGATTTCTCTAAAATCGAACCCTTAACATGTATATCGGTTTCACGATAACTCCGTTAGTTCTTAAGATAGCCCGTGAAAACGCCCAATTTTCCCCACCCTGTACATTCATCAGTGTTTTGATAAAACGAAATTGTCATCACTGTGCTATACCTACTTGTATGGTATAATACAAGCAGCTGAAGGGATGGGGACACGAGTTGTGTCTATCACAGCACTTGATTCTGTAAACAATTTTTTTGTACATCCTCAACATCAGATGGATGACGTACAAAACCGTATTCTTCGGTTTCGAGGTCCGCCATCGACCGGAACCGTTCGGATTGTTCCTGGTCGGTTGCCGGTAGAAATTGCCGGCTTGACTCGACCTGGTCATGTGACCTTTCTCCTCGTAAGGTCCCACGACGAACCTACAAAGCACGTTTGGCATAGGTCATGGCTTAATTGACTTACATAAAAAAGTTAAAAAAGTCCCGACTTTTTTAATCAACCCATGCACCGGAATTATTTCTTTCAACTTTTCTGAGATTTCATGGGATTCAACTAGTGTGAAATTGTATCGAAAGAGGAAAAAATATGTAGAAACCGAAATGGAATTCAGATATTCCAAGAATATGCTGTTGCCATATGGTAACACTAGGCGCTTGTGATACATGCTTTGGGATATTACCTTATAGACCAACATTTCATTCTACACACATCGTCATTGTCAAAATTCTGCAATTCTGCATGGCATGTATAACTCGGAGCATGTTCAACACTACACAAAGAATATTTTTGCAATTTTTTTCAAATATGTGACATATACAAGGTGTTTTTGAAATGAGAGCACATATTCAGCACATTTAATATAATACAGTCTAAGGAATATTTCCATGATATCAGATTTTTTTAATTTTTCTAATTAACGAGAAATTTCATCTCAAAAATTGAACAAAATACGAGAAAAAAATCGAATACGCCACTTTAAAACAATTTAAATGATTGAACTCCGCCTGATCTTGCCTACTGCATGAAAATCTGAACAGAGGTGACGTCAGATTTGCTACAGTGTAGAACTTTGGGTGGAAAAAAGTCTAACCTCAAATTTTATTTTGATCCCTAAATGTTTTCTTATTAGTGCCATTCGATAGTACACGTCAAGCTTTGAAATAGTTGAAATATATTTGAAATAGTTGCAAATATTTCAATGCCACCCTGTATAACTCGGAGCATGTGAAACACTGTTATGGAAAAAAAAACGCGAATTCAAATACGTATAAAAAGGATGATACGTACTCGAACGTAACTTCCATGTATGACGTAAGTTCAAATGAACTCAAAGTTTCACAAATGCAATACCCGTTTTTTTTTTGGGAATCAGATGGCTGTCTCTCACCCATTCAGCTAAAAATTTGAGTGCTTGGGAGTTATTCGAATCTCTACCTGAGTAGAGTTGCCATATGGCAACGCACGGCGCTAATGGGTCAAATCGGACGTTTTTTAATGAATCCACTTGAAATAATATTCATTTCTTATGCAAGGGAAAAACTTTTAGCTACAGGTTCTGTTCTCCCGAAGCGTAGCGGCAAAGATAACCTCAATAAAGTATATACAGGATGATTCACGATGGATGGCACATTAGACGTTTCTGGAGAACGCAACTCAGAATTATTCTGAAAAGTTGGTGCCTTGGATAATTAGTTGTATTCTTTCGACCTAATTTTTGACACAAAAAATTCCTAAAGTTGAAAAATCACGATTTTGTGAACGTTAATATCGGTCTATGGTTTAAACAAGCCAGGTACTGTTTTCAGAGTATTTAAATACGTGTTTGTTTCAAATACACGCCTCCACTTTCCATTCAACTAACCTCAAAACCCTGAACATGGAATCCTCCCTGCGACCATCTCCGTCTCCGCATTTGTGGAAACCCCCCTTGTAAAAATAGGAGAGCACCGCCATGCTGACGCTGAAGAGAGCCACGTCCCCGTATTTGACGTTTCGCACGAGATTCCTCGATCTCGCCATGTTCCACAACGTTTCGGTCGCCACATTGCTGACATATAAACAGAGCAACGTGCGACGACTGGGTCTCTCGATCAGGATGGAAAAAACGCTGGACAAGAAGACGGGGACGGCAGATACGGTAAGGATGTTGAAATGGCCCAACAACTTCCTGTAGAATTTAATTTAATTCAATTTGTCAAGGAATATCGAAGCTATACGAGTAACATTTATGGTGAATCATCTAGTAGATTAGTCTCCTATTATTTGAATCAAGTGCATGGTTTCATTCATTAAGAATACTTTTCGTTATAAAAAATGACGTTCCTAGATTTTGCTGAACAAGATCAACAAATATGGCGAGGATGTTGAAATGGCTCATTGAGAAATAAATATACAAAAAAAACATTTAGTTGGTTTCATTAAATGAAATAACTCGGCATGAGGTTCCTCAATATCGTCATGTTTTATAAACATTTCCGTTGCATCATTTCCGTTGCAACATTGCTGACACATAAAATAAACAAAGCAATTTTTCATAGAATTGAATAAACAAAGACCCTTAAGAATATTAATTAGTTGGCAATATTTTGTCCGGAACAATATTTTGCTAAAGAAAAGTGTTTGTTTTAGTATTCTCGAAGCTGTTGAAATGTATACAAGCGGAAACGAAGAACATTGATGAATCATCGGGTACATAATTCATTCTCCTATAACTTTTTATAACATTTATAACAAGCATTGATTAGAAAAAATGAAGATCCTGAAACAAAAACTACTGTAATAATTGTTATCTATCATTCTGTAGCCCTCTAAATCTATGAGAAGTATGAGATAGCAATCTGAAGAATATGTGAGGCAACAAATATACAGGGTGTTCCGAAAGTAGCAAACAATATTCCACAAACAGTTTCTACATATGGAAATGAGAAAAAAGTTCATAAAAACGGATCATAATTCGATATTTTTGTTAAGTAGGTAGCATTTTATGGATCAAATGTGAAAAGGAAACAATGGAAATTAATTAAAATGAGTGTCAAAATTATTGAAGTAGCACTAAAAACGACTGCCTTATCAAGTCCATAAGAAAATAATGAGACTTTTGTTGTTCCCAATGAATACATCTGATATTAAATTTGTATAATAATCAAAAGGCAAACAATGTTGAAATGTCAAGATATCATGTCTGTTTGTAATTGTAAATGGTAGAATTACGTCAGTAATAATGATTGATTGAAAACCTGTACACTACAACTTCAGATTGTATTTATGTATATGACACAATATTCATTAGATATTTTCCCATGAATTTTTACTAAGGTATCAATAAGTAAATGATAAATCAAGGAAGTTAATTTCAACAACTTGTTTGGTCAATTATGGGAAATTTGTTTTTTACATAATATTTATGTTGTTGAATATACTGCCTCAGGTATTGATGACTCAACCTTGTCAATGTGTAAATGCCTCCATGAATGCATATTATTGTATACTTGCTATCCTCAAATCTGGAGTAATATTTGATGGACTAATTTTGTCAATAAATTGATGAGAATTGAAAAAAATCCAATTAATATAACTTTTTCTCTGTTTACTTCATGGTGCTCATTTGAAAATCAAATATTTACCTATTGGTTATAAATATCTAGAATTTAATGATATAATGAATGTTTCATAAATCCACCATTACCTAACATTAGTATTAGGAATAGGGAAATATCAGTTTTTTTAGGACATTCCAGGAACAATGCAAATTAACCCAGATATATTTGCTAACTTAATTTGAACTGTTTGAGCCTCCCTTTCAGTTTATGATATATTATAATGATTTACCTACCTACTTTGGAAATACCATCTAAACTAGTATCAATTCACAAAACATTCAAAACAACTATTCTGATATCACAAGGTCTTAGATAATTGATATCAAGTAATCATACATAGGTACTACATCTAATTTGATATGATTGCCACATAGAATCATGAGGTCAGTATCAAAATGCAATACCTAATTAATGTGTGTTTAGGTTGGTATTTTCCAGGTATCATCATCACTGATGACAGAGTTCATGACATTATCAGTACATATAAAGTAGCACTGAAGAGTCCAAATACCCAAGAAATATTGAATCTATAATACATTTTCTTACCTTAACAAGCAAAGAAATAGAGAATATCCAAAACCTGTGCCACTCAAAAAAGCAGTAGATTGTATGATACCTAGGATTGTCTTCTTTATGTCTTCTTTAGATGGAATTTTTCCTTTCATCAACAGGGTTAACTGAAAAAAAACTGATGTTTTGAAATCAATTTTCCCAAACTACTTAATGTACATTCAACAATTGGGTACTGGAAAGATAGTACCAGAGAAAGTACCTAGAAAAATTAGATATTACATATAATCTATGAATTTTCCAAAGGAAAAAAGTACAAAATGATAGGAATATGTACCAATTGAGAAACAAATGATAAGTTTTGGACCCAGCTATTGATGAAATTTTTCATTGATAATATGAAACTATTATAAACTTAATACAAACCACATAAACTGTCCCATATACCCTGAAAGAATCAAACATGCAATAGAGGTATAGGCCACAAGTGGCTTGAAGACAACTGTCCGTCCATGGATGCACATAGTCCACACAAGAAGTGGAAATGGGAGCAGTAACGGGTATAAATTTGCTGAAAGTCTGAGACATCTTCACATCCAGAAACTACACGAACAATATTTTTGTCATAACAACATTGCACTGCTTATTCCAGGACTTTGAACGCTTTATGAACAGCTATGGTGTTTACTTTAAAACCTTAATGGGGGAACACATTCACAGACAGAGAGGTCTGTGTTCTAAACTAACACTATCGAAAATCAACGTTTATATTTATTTGAACAATAATAAAATTCGATAACGGTGACCATAAAAAATCTAATAAACAAAATCCTTGGGGCTTGGAATTTGGAATAGTTTGCTCTGTTGGAATTTGGAATCTTAAAATCCCGAATCATGAAATTGTCATTGTCATTAATGTCATTGTCAACATTGAATGACAAACGTCAGTTGTCAGATTTACTTTTTTATGTACCAACGGTTAACCGTTAACCAGCTTTGCGGTTAATCATTATTTCCGTGTCATTTTCTAGTATTCTATGCTCCATGTTCTATTCTTCCTCTCTTGTTTAGCTGTCAATGTCAATTAACGATTTGACACTTTCAAAAGTGTCAAAGTCAAAGATATAGGTTAAGTTAAGTATTTTGTTTTGTTTAGGAACTTCGAACTTCGGATTTCTCGAGTTTTCACCAGTTTCGGATTTGAAAATTCATATGTTAGCAAATCGGAGATGTCTGAACGTGTTCTTGATGCAGAAAATTGGAAAGTCGAGGCTGCAGCCGTAATAAAGGATGTGGTAGATCATGTGAGAAAGTTGGTAGTTTCGGACAAAATTCCAAGTGATAACAAATCGATTTATCTAAATTTGACCACAAACGAGGATAAAAATTACTGTGTTCAACTATCAGGACAAGGTTTCAAAGTCGTTGGCAATAATCACAACGAGAATAATATCAATTCAGAAAACTATTTCGAGACTCCCTATAGTCTTTTGAGCAATATCAGTCCCAGTTTCAAAGATTCCTTCGCAAATGCCTTGATGGCAAAGCTGAATAATCTCTCTCAAGAGTCTTGAGATCCTGAACTCCTGAACTAATCGCTGAAAGTGAAACCAAAAACCAAAAACCCAAAGCCCAGCCGTGCCAAAAGGCCAAAAGCTCAAAGTGAGGTTAATGAGAATTTCTCTAGGTTGGTGTTCCTGGCGACCTTGTTTGACCCCTTTTTTTCGTATCTGACTTCATACCGATCGAAACATTCCAAACAATGACAGATTTGACGTTTTTTATGTGGATCGGCAAATGAAAATAATAAGCGTTGATTAAACCAATTTTGATCTGATGAAACTCAAGTAAACAGCAATGACTAACACATCTAGTTGTTTAGCCTAATGCTTTGTTAAATTAGTAATAGTAGTAGTATCTTCCCGTGAAGTTCTATTGTTCACAAAGGACTATGGACAGTAATTAGGTAAGAATCAGTACTGGTTTGCCATCTTTTTATGTATGGATGTACCCCGTTCCTTTATGAACTATGTACCCCTGCATGAAAATTGCATTTTTATTGTGTTATCACTCATGCATGGTCTGGATTATAATTCCAATAATTTCAGGTAGATATAGAAAATTAAGAAATAAATAGCACAGAATTGTGCTAATTTAGTTATTTATTCTTAGTATTATCATTGTTATTGTTATCCCAATTATACATACCTATTCATAGATGTTCAAACAGGTAATAGGCAGTATCAGGTATAAATTGTACTTACCTATAAACAAAGCTATAAGTAATTATTAATCATATTAATCACAGTTAGCTACCTTTCAAAGAACTTTCAGTTCACTAATAGTTTTGTTGAAGATTACCTACCTTCAATTGTGTACCTAACAGCTGAGTCAATTGAGGATCATATTCATTTGAACTTGAAAAAAAAAAGATTCTTTTTGAGTGTGAGTCTTATTTTACTGTCTTCTTTATTTTATTTTGTCAAATATATTTATGTATTCACTATGTTCCCTGCTATAAACAAATGTTGTTTCTTGGGAATAATAAAGTTGATTGATTGATTATACCTCAGATTATATCTATTTCAGGCCCCTTTTGTAACTTTAAAGAATAATGATATAATGTTTTAAGGAATACTTTTCTGATATAAAGGTCCTGGGATCGATTCCCAGCAGAGGAGCGCATTTTTTCAATTTTTTTATTCAAAACAACAAATTTTCTACTCTGTCCAGATCTCATTTTTAACTTTCTGAGTAAAAAGGCGAATTTACGTTGATTCAGGTATTCATGGTCCTGAATGGACGTACTGGTGCTATATGTAACCCGAATATTTTGAAGTACTTATAGTATTACTATTGAAAATATATCTATCATCCGCCTAAGGTATCATATCAATAAATATGTTAAAAAATATTATTTGTTTTTGCTCCGGATATTTTTGTGGAAGGTTGCTGAATTTTTAAAATTCGCATTTTGTCATTTTAATGCACTATTTTTCAATGAGAATAAGTACATAACACTGGAAATCCGTGTGGAGAGTGGAGATAATCAATTTCGGAAATGTAATAGGCAATTTCACTAATTTCACCACTCTTTCATAAGCTCAAATACTCAAATATGAAAAACATTCCTTAGTTTATTTAAAAAAACACTCAACAAGAACTAACAATGTTTTCTCATTCAAACAGATGTTTCTCAAACATACTTGATATCAATCTCAAAATTTGATTTTTATTGATAATCACATTCTAGGAATCAGCTGCTGTCTCATTTAATTTGTTAGGAGATAATATTGGAGTACTATGCGTCTATTGTTATGCTTATTATGTGTTCAGTGGCGTGTTTAAGGGGGGGGGGGGACAGAGGGGCCCGGGTTCCCCCCAAAGCAGGCTACACTCGAATAAAAAAAACACGAAAATGTCGGTTCATCCAGTCTAATTTAATATTTATAGAAATCTACCATTTAATTATTAATATATGATGATTGTTTTATGCTACACGGTGTGAATATTTTATACACTGAAAAACTCGTCGAATCGTTAGTTCATACCTGAAGTGGATCCACGAACAGTTGAGAAGAATATCATTCTCTTCGCCCGCCGGTCAGCCTGACCGGCGGACGGCGATCGTGTTTCCGTTTACATAATCGGTGGCGATCACGTGGCTTTCAAATGATCAACGTTCTCTGTTCAGAGTGTTCAGTTAGCTGTAGACTGTAGAGTCGCTGAGTTAGGTAGTTGGTGGCGGTGGTAATTTGTATGAGTAATCTCGAGTCATATCAAAACAAGAACTAAGCTGAAATAATAATGTGGCAAAAAAGATGGACAAATAAACCAGATTTGCCCTCTACAGCAATCGAAGCACTTTGTTTTGGGGCGAGTTTGTTCCCTGCAATAAATATTTCACTGTAAATATTTGTGGCTCTACCTGTATCAACCAACGGCAACAGTAGTGGAAAGGAGCTTTTCAACCATAAAGCGCTTGAAAACCCACTTAAGCCTCGAAGACTGGTCAGGTTGAAATAATTGATCTAAAAAAATTTATAAGTATGCTATTTTCCATGTTTGTTCATTGCTTAGCCAAAATACAAAAGAATGGTTGTTCTGGTGTTGTTTCGTTTAATTATATCGGTCAATGTATCACGACAAATTTTGGCAACATTTTTTATTTTTGCCTCGGCCCTCCCTAAAGCGAGATTCTAAACACGCCACTGTATGTGTCCACTGCTCGGAAATATCAAAGTATAGTAGTTATTACTAGTTAGTAGACATCAAGAAATCAATTTTTCCATAGTTCATCATTTTTGTGATATTCAATATTCATTGTAATTGATGGAAAATTACACGAATCATTCTTGATGTTTGCCTACTTGGCCTACTATGTCGATATTTCCAAGCTGTAAAAACATCAATGAAAACACCTGCTAAGTTTATTACATTATATTATAAATACAGGGTGATCCACGGTGGATGGCCTATTAGAAGTATCTGGAGAACGAAAAGACAGAACATTCTGAAAATTGGGATGCTTTGATAATTATCAGACTAAAATATTTTCATCGGTACAGTGTTGCCACTTCTATCAGAAACAACTAGTAACTTTGTTATTCCAAACGGAACACCTTGTATTTTATTGCATTTTTAGATTCTTACTGAAGAGTTGATTTCATCAATGTATCACACTTGGGGTCTAACAGGAATGTTCACATAGATATAGGGTGTTCAAAATCGAAATTTTTCGATTTTAGGATTTTTTGTGTCGAAACTATTCATAGTCTATCAAAACGGCTTAGATGTCCCTATCTTAACTTTCGATTCACTATCTACTGACATTCAATTGGAACAGATACAGGGTGATCAGAATTCTGAATCTTGAAGCACCCTGTATTTTTTTCCAATTAAATTCTGTGGGTAACTTATCTCTGACGTACTATACTTTATCTACTGCCATATAGTACATAAAAAAAGTTTGGACAAACAGTCTGAATTATAATTCTTGACAGTTATGTCATCCGCTGTTGACGGCGATTACGCGATCATGACTGGCGGAATAAACGAAAACTGTGCGATGTGCTTACTGTACGTAAAGAGCTACTTACTGAGACTGTATACTTTCTATAGTGGCCGTAGGTAAAACTCATTACCTACATTTTGCGTGTATTCCTCTGGAATTCAAATAATTTTCTTTGTGACTTTAACGTATAAACATCGATCATTATCTCAAAATGATCCATCAATAATCATCATGTGTTTTTTTAAGATACAACTCGTCCTATCTGAGAAAAGCAGTACATGAACTGATTACTTTAATTTAATCACCGCCTTCCTAAAAATCAGAGTCAAAGTTCAATGTAAACGGCACCGATCTGAATCAAAACAATGAAAGAGAGTGGAAGTAATGGGGATGGGATACTCTTATGGCATTGTGTCAGTTCTGAATCGAAAGATTAAATATTCAATTTTGAATCGGCGCTGTCAGTGATTCCGTTCCCAGTATCAACAATAGCGCGATCTGATTATCATGGTTCAGTTGACTTTGTGGAATTTGTGGAGGTTCGTTAATTGAAGAAAAATGACAGGCTCATTATCGGCATATTCGATTAATGGACAAAATGATAACGGATCGAATTATGGAATTTTTCACGTTGAACGAGTTTAGGCGATACAGGATACAGCGTGTCCCAAATAAGTCTATTTGTGATTCTTCAGGGCTCTTTCTTCTACACCCAAGTTGTCGTTGATTAAGTTTCATTCCTTTATTTTCTAGATGTTTAATTTCAAAATTGCCATCAGAACTGATTTTCTGATACATAAAACTGATTAGATGTTCCTGAATACGGTAGTTGAGCTAATCGTTCGACCTATCTGACCAATATATACCTCAGGACAATATACACAATTCGGTCATACTAAAGGTTTAAATATTGACGCTAATTATAAGAAGGAGTTTTGAATATCATAATATTTATAATTATTATCTTTCCATGTAGATAATCTCACATAAATGTCCAACTTTCGATGATTTTCCAGAATGTCGTCAAAAATAATATTTCCAGTGGTGCTTATCATCGAATATAAATGTATGTATTCAAAAATTATGAAAATATTCATGATATCCTGTTATGATAAGATTGAATGTTTCGTCAACATTTGACGAAAATCAGTGTCGATCATCAACTGGTCTACAGATTTTTTCAATGTTTGAAAAATTCTAGGAAAAATTACTACTCTTGATGATTGAGGGCTAGTACAGGCTAAGTCAGTTTTTTTTCCAATATTTCCAAATTAAATTTTGTCTCAATTCTCTTGGAAGCACCCCCGTATCTCACGTAATTATTGAGGTAGGTTTCTGAAATTTGCAGGAGAAAGGGAAAGTCCAAAGGTAAAGTTTTTCAGAAAAAAATATGAATATTTAGTGAATTTGGCGTCCTGATTCAGAATCTGAAGTGATTTTCGACCTATTTCGACTCCTAATATCATTTTTCGGAAATTGAGGTGGTTCCATGGCCGTTGGCGAGCAGTGTATATCACTGAAGATGACCCCACTTGGTCATAGAGTGCATTTTTGGTATATCTCTCGCTCCAGCAAATTTCGGTATTCTTTCCCAACGATTACGTAAGATACAGGGGTGTTTCCATTAGAAGTGGGTCACACTGTATATTTGTGTACCGAAGAAAACGATCTTTCCCTAGCGTTGAAAATATACAGGGTATTCCAATTAAAAAAAACTGATTTGGACTCTTTATTCCCATTTTGTGATTCGCATCTGTTTAAGGAGTACCAAGAGATAGTAGGCATAGATGAAACCCTACAACTTTCATATTGAGGTTTTTTCCACATCGTACAGTTGAAGCTGTAGGTAGGGTTCAAAATATAAAGAGACAACCTGTACAAATAATTGAAAATTCGAAAGATAGCAAAAATGATGAAAAAACTCACATCTTGTCAACACTGCCGCCCGCATTTCGAATCCGCTTTTTTATTCCTATTAACCCGGCGTCACCCAGGTAGAAAATCGGTACATTCTCACCCAGATGGGGTCTGATGTACCCCATAATTAGAAACTCCATGAAAAAAATCAATTGTAATATTTCCAGATTTGTATGTGAAATCAGTTTTTAGATTCACTTCATGATTATAAACAGAAACTTTTTATAGTAAGTTTAATTCATGAGATATCATGAAAGGCATATAGGTGGCGACATTCTCACGGGTAAAAAACATGATATCTTTGAAAACTGTTTAAAAAATATACAACACTCAATTCTGAAAGATTTCATGCGAAACTAATTATTAAAATGTTCAAGTTATCAGCTAGAAAAGTAACATGTAGTATAAGAAGAAAAAATTATCCATTTTCTTATGGGAATTTACATGAATCTCTTAGAATAAAATATATATCTTTGCTACACAGGTGGGACTTCTCAGACCCCAAAGCTGTTTACTGCACTGTCACTATCTTGGTAACTAACTAAAAATTGAATTCGCACCAGAATATGACAGAATAAAGTGTTTTGGGAAGCTGTAGGCAACCAAAGAAATATGTCTGACTATCTGAGACCCCACCTGGGCGACGCCGGGTTAATATTGAATACTGTGTAGGTTATTATTATTATTATGAACATTTCTAATGAACCTTGATTTAATCTTGAATGATTTTTTTTCTCTTATTTTTAGGTTAGGGGCCATGGACAGTCTGCAGGTAGGGGCGCCGCAGCAGCTGCAGCACACCGGAAGCAAGGCTTCCAGCAGAAGCACCTCTCCCGCCAGACCACGTGACCAACAGCCCGCCTACCACCCGCATCACACCAAAACGCTCAGCCACGGGTCCGTCGAAAGCGCAAAGGTAACTTCACACAAGATTCTATGTGAAATGATGGAAAAATTGGTAGAAAATTTGCGATTCATTATAAATTCAAAATTCAGCAATACTGCTAAAAAACTTACATCTTCGGACATTCAAATGAATTAATAAAGTGAAAATGTGCGTCTTATTGCCAATTGAAAAATTGGCAAAACGATATGCCATGGTAATTTTACACTTGAATTTATGCACAAAAACGAAAAAATGAGAAAGAATGTGAAAAAAAACAGCTTCATCAGAATTCTGAACTTTTCAATACCCTGTATTTGTTTCAATTAAAGTCAGTAGATTGCAAATCAAAAGTCAAGATTAGGGACATGAAAACCGTTTTGGTCAATAATGAAGTTTTGACAAAAAAAAATCCTGAAGTTGAAATAATATAAATTTTTCACACCCTTCAACTCTGTAATCATTTAAGCTAAACCCCAAGTGTGATAGATCGATGAAATCAGCTCTTCATAGAGAATCTGAAAATGCACTAAAGTACAAGGTGTCCTTTTTAAAAATTTATGAATGTTGCTCATAAGTATTTTTTGAGATGTTCAACTGTTTTTCTGTTGGATATATAAAATGTGAAGAAAAAAATATAAAAGAAAGTTCATTGAAAAAAAAATTTAACAATTCATAAACAAGTTGAGTGGTGATTCAAAATATACGTGAAGACCCTGTACATCTCAACACTGTTGCCGCATCACAACAAGACTTGCAGTTAAGGATCCGGCGAAAGCGCCAAGTTAATTTCACACAAGATTTTATGTGAACTAGTGATCATATGAGTTTTTTTCATTGAAAATGCAAAGGTAGTAGAGCTGATGAGAAAAAAGCCAACAAAAACTGCGAGGGCTAAATCTCCTTGGAAGTCTGGTGTACACTCCGTTGGAAGTCTTTGGAATTCTTTGGATGTGTTTGGAAGTCTTTGGATGTCTTTGGAAGTCTTTGGTAGTATTTGGATGTCTCTGGATGTCTTTGGAAGTCTTTGGTAGTCTTTGGATGTCTCTGGAAGTCTTTGGATGTCTTTGAAAGTCTTTGGAAGTCTTTGGATGTCTTTGGAAGTCTTTGGTAGTCTTTGGATGTCTCTGGAAGTCTTTGGATGTCTTTGAAAGTCTTTGGAAGTCTTTGGGAGTCTTTGGAAGTATTTGGAAGTCTTTGGAAGTCTATGTTAATTGGAAGTCTGGTGTACACATGTTTCCTGGAGATTTACCCCCTCGAAAAACTGTTACCTAGTATATTGTATAAAATTGTATATGATCTCCAATCCCAATAGTGTTTTGTTACTACATTTTAGTTTATAGTTAGGCACCTTTACTAATAATTTGACAAATCCTACTTACAACAAAAATAATGAAAAATAAGGAAAACATGAATTGAAAAATAAAATAACTCGGATCCGCATGCCATTTTTCCTGGAAAAATCAAAAATTCTCAATACATACAATTTGTTATGGTTAGGGGACACGAGATCAAGAAAAAAACTGAAATTTCATCAGATACTTGTTGTTTCCTTGTTTAGTGAGACATTTTCAAAACTTCTCATTAAAAGAAAAATAAATCAATTGAAATTACTGTAGAAAAGATGAAATATTGGAATAAATTTGAGTCAAGAATATCTTTAATTGAGAAAATCAGTATATTGAAATATACACAGGATGTGAAGTAGAAAACACAATCAATTGAAAAATTAGAGAGATACTTCATCTAGGAAAATTTCAAAATTTGTCCTTAATTTGCAATAGAATAAACACAAATTCTGATATTAACATTACCAAATTTTAGGAGTGTAAGGTTGCAAATATGCGAGAAATTGCGAGGATTAGGTAAACAAAATGAACATTCAGTATCAATTATATATGAAGTACCCTGTGAAGGTCATGCACCAGATGCTAAACTTCTGTTTACAAATAGACCGTTGTTCCATGTGCATTCTCTCATGATAAAATATTCACTTACTCTGTTTACGTAAGTCATATTGATTTTTATCTGTTTTCCTGGAAATGTGAACTCTTTGAATAACTCACTAGATTGTTTCAAAGCAATCAAAACACAAGATGAGTGAAAATATTATGAAATCAAAAATAAGACTTCCTTATAATATCCATTTTTCTTTGTCAAAAGATTAGGCTTTTGTTGATGAATCACTCTGTACACGTGTGTGTTTTGATAACAGCTGATGGTGTGTCAATCATTCAACGAGACGTGTTTGATAAATTGATTGAACGAAAATATGCAACATGTTTCATTGATAATAATTAGCTATGTAGTTATTTCATGTGATGATGAATACCACGACAAATATGCGTCGTATTGTATTTCCGTTGGAGCATAAAAAGTTATTCGGATGTTGGAAGCCGCATAAAAACAAAACTAATGCGAGGAAATCAGATCTATATCATTATCATGCCAATTTTTCCATATGCTGGAAAATCAAGTGAACGAGATACCTATATAAAATGAAGAAACGTTTTTTATAAGAAACTTCAACAACCGCTGTATCTCGGAAACGAATTGTTTATAGGGGTTTTTCTTCTTGAACTATCGTAGGGTATCACATCATGAAATCTACAGGGTGATTCAGAATTCGATATAAATATTTAAAGGATCAAAATGAAACTTTTTCTTCATATAAAAATGTGTCTTGAAATGCACACCTACCGAGCTACAGCCATTGTAATTTAAGATAAAAATACTTATTTATTATACAAGGAAAAAAAAAAAAGGTGATTTTACCTCCAGTTGTGTGTGACAAAAAAATCTAATATTTGTCCCGTGTATAATACACTATCTTTTTCTGTGATAGGTAAAAGGACCAATCAATATTGAGAAGGAAGTTTTTAACAGTTATCACACATGTGTTGCAGGCATCTTTATCATTCTTTTGAAGTAATCCTATAGCTGTCAGTCTTATATTCTGTGATTTAATTTTGAAAAATTGTGAACTTAGTGGTTGTTTAGTAATTTACGTGACCGCGAAGTGAAGTGGAAGATAAAAGGACTTGCAGTTCTTTCTCGGAGACGGTGGCTCGTTTTTCGGAACTGTCACAAAAAAGCCATCAACAGTGTATATATTGTGATATATATCTTGGAAAAAAGTTCTCACTTTTTCCCGTCACAGAAAAAAAAATCATCTAAAGCTGTGACTGAAAGAACGGATCGAATCTTCTGAAAATTTCATGCCGTTGTCTTTTGGGGGTGCATTTAATATGAAACAAAAGTCTTATTTGATCCCAACAATGTGTCCCTAAAATATTTACATCGAATTTTGAATCACCCTGTATAAGTTTTACTGTTTGTAATTGAACATCCGAACAAGCCCGAACTCGATCAACAAATTGAACAAAAAATACAACGACAACAGCGCATGTTGTATACTGAATCATGAATGAGGAAATTAACAGAAAAACAATGAAATCATAACCTCAATAAAAACACAGCTATCAGTAAAACTGGTTTCAGATCAAAAGATGAGCGCAATATGCCAGATAATCTTTACTGATTTCTTGGAAACATGAAAATCCACTCGGGAATGTCAAGTTAGAATTTCAATTTGAATGTTGAAGCTATTCTGGATATCATCGGCATATTTTACAAGGTTGGGCATATGACAGCAGGAAACACTTGATATATATATTTTTTGTTCTATACAGTGGCCAATGTTGATTTTTGGTAGCTATCATATTGTCGTAAATATGGCGCAGTCAACAGTCTTCTCAAATGATTCCACCCTGTATGTAAATATTTTTTCAGGATACTACCTATTCTACTAACTCAAATTGACATGAAGTTTGGCTTTTCTGTGATTGGTTGCTGTATTTTGTATGTCTGTATGTATGAGGTGAAATATTAATTGATAAAATATGTCTGGTATTTGAATCTTAGTCGTTTACTTGTTACAAAAAAAGGTCTACTATTGAACGGTTTTTATTAGTTTTCTGACAATTTAACGAATGGAACTCAAAGATATCAGACATTTTTTATCAATCATTATTTTACCTTATATTTCTACAACCACCAGTCAAAGACACACGCCAAACTTCATATCAATGTGAGTTGAAAAAACATTATAAAATGAAAGAGTAATTTCTGATTTTCACACATATGCCCAACCCTGTATTTATGTTTAGTCATTATTTGACATTTTATCAGTCATTTGAACTACTAATGTTGTGAACCCGGAGAAACAAAAATCTCTCCCCCATTACGGACCCTACCTAGGAAACACGCTGTATAGGGCATCTGCCTTTCACCTGAAACTTCCCAGTTCAGTCAGTTACGGACAGCGTATGCAGTGTTTAGTTTCACTGTTCGCTCGTGGTTTCTACTGAAAACCGCTTCGCAAAAAAAACAATCCGGGAGATACATCTCATAGATTAATATTATTAAATCTCGGATCGAGTACTATTTGATAGAAATTAAACCTATTAAGGTTGAGTGGTAACATCTTGAATAGAATTGAAAGATTGAATTAATTATTATTATTATTATTGTGACGAATGTTCCAAAGTTTCATAAACTGAAATATTTGCTCGTGATTTGCATGGATGGTAATGAGGATGATAATATAATGCCTGTGATTTATCAAGCTATAAACGTAAGTAACTATTTTATTTGATTTTTTTTCCTCCAAATGACATTGAAAGTAGCTTTTCGATGACACTTAACATGCATTGAAAGTGTATTTTTACTGCCTAGACAGAAAAAGTTTGTAGCTATGCAACGATTCAAGTAATTTGAATCAAATTGGTAACCAAAATTGACAATGAATGACATTGGGTGTAGACAAAATGACACTTAACAGGCACAAAAGGTCTACTTTTACTGCCTAGGCAGAAAAAGTTTGTTTCTATGTAACCTTCCAAGTTCTAAGAATTCAGCCAAGGCAGTCAATCTATTTTTCTGCCATGTGAAACATATAATTTTTCTCCAAATTTTATAAAACCAATTTTGTGTATTTTTTCATTGAAAACTCTCAACATTTTTATGTTCAGCCGATGTCAGTGTCAATTTTGATTACCAATTCCATTCAAATTACTTGGAACTTTGCATAGCAACAAACTTTTTCTGCCTAGGAAGAGAAAGAACACCTTTGTTGCCTGTTAAGTATCATAGAAAAGCCAAATGACTATTCTTTCATCAATCACCTGAATCTTTCAAAATTAGAACATTTGTGGAAAGTACATTTTCAAGTTTCAATGTGGTAATAGAATGTATATTTTATCCTTTCATCCATAGTTCTGTTATTGAAGATTGTTGATGACATTTTGATCTCTAGTAATGTTTTATTAACTGATATTTAGATGAATAGCAGAAAATAGATAATGATAACTATGAAAAAGCGAGATAGCCTTTTTATATTTGAAAAATAGTAATTCTAGATTATTGTCAAAATATTATTGATTCAAAATTCACTGATATGTAAAAACGTGTAGATTAAAATGTTATTTGTTTTCCGCTTTTCTGTCTCTTGTTTCAGAGCTACGAAGAGATTCAATCCCTTCTGTATATTTTTAGGTTTAGGTCTCACTCAAAATCCCCCAGAAATGAATCAGTAGGTGATAGCTATTTTCGGATGAATAGTAGTCGCATTCACATTTCTGTTTTCTGTTTCTGGATCATGTTCTGAGAACGAATGATTGATGATAGCATAAATTGTTGAAAAATGTGTCGCAGCGATCTGAATTGAAATATTAGTCACTGAATTCGTTTCTATACGTTCGTTCCTTATAGATTTTAATCATTACTTTTTTTCATTACCATGCCCACTATAGGTAGTCAAACGTCACTTCGTTTAAATGGAATAGATTAATGAGTAAAATGTTCTTCTGGAGTGGATGCGTCACAATGTGACCATGTCTCATTGCTTAGACATTTTTCATGTTTGATTCATCGTGCTTAGTAGCTTTTCTGTAGCCATGATTTTCTGAACTGGATTTTTTGTTTCGTCTCTTTGTAAGTTGTCAACTTTTAAACTATTCGTTTTAAAATATGATTGGATACAATTTTTTTTTCATATATAAAAACTTGCACCTTCTTTGAACGTACAGAGTGACCTATATAAAAGCGTGTCACCCTCATAATCTTTTTATTTATGGATCGATTTTCACGATTTTTATTTAAATGTAGATGGAGAAAAGGTGTATTTTGGAGCTGAGCGGCGTCCACTTTTTATTTTAAACCAAGGCCTATACTAGATCACTTTCAGAAGCTGAAAAATCCAGAATCCATATTAGCGATTTTTTTTAGAAAAAATACGCTTACGCCACTGGAATCGGCGTCATCTGTAATAAATTTGTACCAAGTTTCATGAAAAAATATTCTACATTAACGATTCTACAGCGTGTTCCATTTCAAACGGCTCCCCCTCTATATCTCAGGTCATGCGATTCGTACCAAATTTGGACCAGTATTAAGAACCATCAATATGATCGGATTTTCAAAGACAAACATCAATTTGGACAGTGCCGTGCTTCTAATTGAAATAAAAAGGGGCCGAGTTTTATGATATCATATTAGGAACTTGTTTGCAAGAAAACTTATCATATTTTCCTCGTCCTTTCGAACCTCCATATGCAAAAAATCACCTCATTCCGAATCAACAGAGTTGGCTAAATTTTTTTTCATTTTCATCCTCAGAAAAACAGTGAATTCAAATTAGAACTGCAAATTTTGGAACGTTCAATGACTCCGGTTGGTAGGAAAAAGTTATTCGAAAGAAAACACAAGAAATACTATTTTATAATTATTACATTTGCAAAAATGCTCTTCAGTTGTGCCTGTTTTTTTCAAACCCTTCATAGGAATCAAATAAAAATTCAGATGTGGGGGTTTGAAACCACGAAAAACACTTTTATGAGGTCAGTTTTCCTGTAAAAAATTCCTGATATGATTTCATGAAAAATTGGCCCATTTCCATTTTAATAAAAACGCACGGCACTGTCCAAGAGGATGTTCGTCTTCGAAAAACTGATCATATTGATGGTTATTCAAAATGGTCCAAATGTAGAATCGTTAATGTTGAATATTTTTTCATGAAACTTGGTACAGATCTATTCCAGTGGCGTAAGCGTATTTTTTCTAAAAAAAATCGCTAATATGGATTCTGGATTTTTCAGCCTCTGAATGTGATCTAGTAGGCCTTGGTTTCTAAAAAAGTGGACTCTGGCTGCTTAGCTCCAAAATACACATTTCCTCCCTCTAAATTAAAAATAAAATCGTGTAAATTCGCTCGATAAAAAATAAAAAAATTATGAGGGTGGCTCGCTTTCAAGTAGGTCACTCTGTATGTCATATATTGGCTATCAAATCTCGTAAATACAAGGTTAAATTATGGAAAGTTGCGCAATTCTTTGCCTAACAAAATGGCGTTTTGAAACTTGGGAAATTCAGAAACCATCATCATCTTTTTTCAAATACGGACCTGGATTTTTTTTATTTCAGTTTTTCACACCTTCGGATATTCCAAAAGCTATGAGCTATCACAAATTTTTATTTAAGAATGTTTCGTTTACCAAAATTGACAGAATCGTATCGAACATTGAAAAAATTCATAAAATGACAATTTTTGTAAACGAAACATTCGAAAAAATAAAATCCCGAATTTTGAGTTGGAAATATCAAGTTTCAATTTAGAAAATGAAATACTCTGTACAAAGCCAGGATTTCCATCTGAATACCCGGAATTCCGAAATTTCCTACTGATGAGAATATCATACCTATTGTAAATGCATGAAAAGACAATATAAGACAACCGCGTCGTCCTTTAAACTATTAATTTTTTTGTCCAAAGCGAAAATTGGAGAATTTTAAAATGAGTCCAAATTCACTTACTGCCCCCGCCCCCAAAAATTCCCTTTTGGTTCGTCCCTGATTCCAGCCACCCTGTATAATGAGTCAATCAAGTAACAGGAAGTGCCTTGGCAATAATTCAAATCGATTGTTTATGTCGACTCGAATGATTTTCCAAATTTTCAGAATCTTATTCGAATTATTGGAAAACATCCAAAGCGATATTGCTTCATGAAATGAAAAAATAAATCGATATGAAGAAAATACATTTTGGGGAAAGACGTGAGATACGTTTGGAGTTACCAAACAACTGAAACTAAAAAAATGAAAATGATAATGATAATAATTGTGGAATTATAATTCACAATTGAAGTGTTTCCTGATCGTGTAGAGGCATTGTTATAAGGTGGGTCACGGTCGCATCCATCAGAATGATACCCGACTCAATTATTAATTGCTTGAATAATTTATTTTAATGTCGAAGGCCGATATAGATCCTCCATCGGCGTTCTAAAAATACGAGAATTTAATTGAAAAGTGCGATTCGTTTTCATCTATTGCGGTGTGCGAATAAGTTTACCGCTGTTTTTCGTCCAGTGTACTTGGTACTTGTCAATCATACATCACAGTGAGTGCATATACTGTATGTTCGAAGAGGTAAATCGATGATTTGTCCTTGTTTTCGAAATAACCTAGTCGTTATAGAATTTTTGATTATCTTAACTTGTCATGAAAACGGCAACATTGTACTGACGTAAACGGAATTGCATTCTAGTACGCTCTTTTATTGAATACTTTGAAGTTTATTTAATTTGTTTGGCAGAATCTATCTAACAGGAGAAATGAAAAAATCTCGTATAATTGATAGATACAACTGCCCAGCAACTACCTACAGTGTCATTTTAGAAGTCTGTATCATATATGATGTTTTCATCATTCAGTTTTAGGATCCATAAACATTTCTTCCTTTGAATATAATGAAAAATTACGTTTTTTTCCTTTCGATCGGCATTACCTATTGAACTTGGATTTTTTTTTCAATTTATAAGATGTTTGTTACAATTTCAAACAATGTTACATGAGAAAGTTGTTTCTTCTTCTGGTTTTCTAACCACCTATAAAATTTGAATGAACTTTTATTTTTTCGAGTTTTCTTGAACTAAAAATGTGTTGGCTCATTAGGATTTCGAAGACTATTCTAGATGTGAATATACTAAACTAATGGGGAAACATAAAACCTATACCTATACAGGGTTTCCCGAAATTACATAGAAAGATTTTAACCGCATTCTAGTAAAAGTAAACTTTTCTCCGAATTCCAGAGCCACGATGGCGGCCCGCTGCCGCCCCCCAAACCCGCCCGCCACCGCTCCCCCACCACCGCCTCCACCCCCAACCGCCCCCATCACCCCCTCGATCCCGACGACCCCAACCTCTCCTCCTCCTCCTCCTACCTTCCCCTCGACGACAGCCTTCTCGCTGGCGGCGGGGGCGGCTACTACGGCGAGATCGACCCGCCCGACTACCCCCTCTCCTCCTCGCTACTGTCTAATGGGGGCGGGGCCAACGCCGACCACGCCCACCACCAGAAGCACCAGCAGGACGACGAGGTGGACGCGAAGACCAACGCGATCATCGAGCATCTCGCCAGCAAGGTGATAAGAGTGAAGGATCTGATAAGGACGGAACAGAAGCTCAGAGACGGTGGGTTGAAGGAAGAAAATAATTTTTTTGCAATATTAATTGGTTCATTAATTTTTGGTCACTAGTCTATAGTGATTGATAATCCTTCATTCTATTAGTATATATCGCTATTGATGAGCATTCATAGATATTTATGAGCATTCGTAGCTATTTATGAGCAATCATTAGCAATTACAGTCGCATATTTATAGCCATTTATATGCATCTTTGTCGTTTTTGAATATTCGTAAGTCATGTAGAACTATTTATGAGCATTTATAGTTATGTGTGTGTTCCTATGGTGGTTTATGAGCATGTATAGTTACTTTTTTTAAATAATCTCGCCAATATGGCGACTGGAATGTAGTATCTGATAAGGACGGAACAGAAGCTCAGAGACGGTGGGTGGTGGGGAAAAGCTTTTTTCTATATTAGATATGTGCAATTATTCTTTGTCATCGTCGTCACTGGTCATGGGAATTTCTTCATAGTTGGTTGTTGATGAGCGTGTATAGTCATTTATATGCATTCATGAACATTCACGGTCTCTTAGGAGTATTTATAGCCATTTATATGCATTTATAGTAATTTGAGAGTTTCTATGGTGATTTATGAGCATTCATGACCAATCACAGTATCTTAGGGATATTTATAGCTAGTTATATGCATTTATAGTCGTTTTTTAATGGTTATAAGTCATGAAGGATCATTTATACGCATTGATCTCCATTTGTGAAGTCCTATGGTGATTTATGAGCGTATAAAGTCATTTTTCTGAAACTAATCTCAGTCATTCCCAATTTCCGGCCATGGGTTCATCACTCTGAGCAATCAGGTCTTTAATTAGCATTCACAAGCATTTATAGTCGTTTATCAGCATTCATAGTCACCATTTATGAACATAGGTTTTTTTTCGGAATAATATCAATTGATTTTAGGCCACTGGCTATGGCATTTTCTTCATCAATGTCATCATTGGTCATTCATAGTAATTCATGAGTGTATTCATAGTAATTTATAAGTATTTATGGTCACTTACAAGTATTCATAATCATTTTGAAGATTTTGATTATTTATATACTCCTTTAGAAACATTTTTGTATCTTAGGGTCATTTGTGAGAATTTATAGGGTTTTTTCAGTATTTATAAGGATCTATAATGATTGTTGTCACTGATGGAATAGCTTTTGGGGCATTCTATATTTATTTATCATCAGGTAATCAGGTATGAACACAAACATTCGAAAGCAATTATAGTTATTATTTGGTGAGCATTTATGGACATCTATGAGCACAGGAGAAGCATTTTCTTGCACATTTATCAGCGATTATAATCCACTGTTCCAGACAACGTAAACGAGTACCTAAAATTGGCAGCTAACGCCGACAAGCAACAAGTCCAGCGGATAAAAGCCGTTTTCGAAAAGAAAAATCAGAAGAGCGCTCACGTGATATCGCAGTTACAGAAAAAATTGGACATCTACCAGAAACGGGTGCACGAACTAGAGACCCATGGAGCCGCGCAAAGCCACAGACCACCTCGAGAGGTCTTGAGAGATATGGGACAAGGTCTAAAGTAAGTGAAAGACCTCAGTATTTGCATCAAAAACACATTTGAATGGTATGAAAATTCTTTTGAAGCTTACAACAACACAGTATAAGTGTTGTTGAGTGTGAACAATTGACTAATTGACTGATTTGTTTTTTTTTTAAGAAATGTTGGTGGTAATATACGAGATGGCATTAGTTACGTGGGCGGTTCTGTCATGTCTAAACCGCGGGAATTTGCCCACTTGATCAAAAACAAGTTCGGCAGCGCAGATAACATCAGTCAACTGTCAAGTGAGTACTCTTTCTCTACTATCACACATCCTGCTATCAACATACAGCCAGCAAATGGTTGATTTGGAAATTGGTATTAAAGTAGATTTTTTTTTATTTTTGCCTCGAACATGGAAAACGGCACGGTATTGTACGAACAAAAAAATTTAGTTGAAGGTGATTCTTCAAAGTTTCTAAAAGTAGCATGTTACTGGATATTGATCTAAAACTTTTGAGGGGGCTCCCTTTTCAACTTTATTTGGGTAAAAGTAGTTACATCACTGTACATACATGCATTAACAATTACTAATTCTGATTATTCTCCACATGATTTGTTTGCATGATACGAGTATGTAGAATATTAAAAATTTAATTTTTTGAGGTATCTATAACTTCTCTTCTAATAGATCTAAATCCTGAATTAACTCAGATAGTTTTTCAGTCAAATAGTGTTAGTCATCTTATCCATTAACAAATATTCCTTTTGGAATATGAAAGCAACATATTGAGAAGTATGAATCAGATAATTCCTGTCATTATTTTTCATTATAGAAATATCGAGATCAAATATTGATCATTGATCACCTTGTATTTTAATCATACTTCATACAAAACTTCATTTCATTTTGTGTTATTAAATTGGTAATTATTCAATTCATGTTAAAATGTTGACATTGAACTGGGGTCAGGTGAAATTATATAATATATACATTAGACCATGAGTTTATTGACGGTGTATGTTATAAAAGTCCCAACAGCTATAAATCTGGTAACTTTTCCATTCATATAGCATATGGGCCTTCATGGGGTGATTTCAATGTCTCAAATTTATCACTACCATTAGGTGATGTAATCAAATACAAATACATTACAAAGGTCTGTCAATTAGCCTCAACTGAAATGAGGAATAAATAGTTGTATCATATTAATCTCGAAACTCGAAAAAAACTCGAAAAATCAGTCTATCTCGATAATTGGATCGGCTGTGTGACAACCCACTATTTGATTGAAATTATCTACATGTTTCGCCGCACCTCGCTTAACTCCGCTCACTCACAAGCCGTCAATTCCTCCCACTCACCCTCCTAACCCCGCCTACTTATCCTATCCAATTATCACACACCTCATAATCCCGCCCACACACTGATCTCTCAACCCGTCTTCTCACACACTTCATAATTCTGCCCTCTCACCTCTAACCCAGTTTCTCATACACAACATCCACGCCTATACAGGTCTTTAACTCCGCCCACTAAGAATCACGTCACTCTCAACCACACCCACTCTGTCACGCCCCCGAACCACGCTCACTAAGTATACCGCAACCCTAGACCACGCCCACTTGGTCATTCCTCTAGACTTTGCCCACTCTTACACCCTCTTGACCCCGCCCACTCTCGACACCACACCCTTTGACCCCGCCCCCCTCTACGGCGCATGGCTATCGGGCACCGCACCGCCCCTAACCCGGCTGCCTTGTAATCCGTAGCGTGGTACGTAGGGCAGGGAGCGGCGACCGGCTCCGAGGGCAGCGGAGGCGGAACGGGAGGAGTGGGCGGCAACCCCGCCCACGGGGGCAGCGACCAGGGTGACAGCAAGATGCACCGAGGCGGGTCGGCGACGTTGCCGGCCACTCTGCGCGAGACCACGTCGCAGGGATCGATGGGGGTGGCGCCGGGAGCGCAGGTGGGGGGGAAGTTTGTCAGCGACGAGGGGAGCGGGTGCAGCAGCGTCACCAGTGATAGTATCGGAAGGTGAGGTTCTCAATGAATAACAGATAGGCATTGCGATTCGTTCCTAAATTATTTAAAAGTATACGCCACCAATCCTGAACACCAGACACGGATGAATGAATGTTTTGTTGATGGATGGAACAGCAGATTCTCTCAAACGAATCTTGGAATATTCTTCTTGAAAATGAGCCTAAAATATAGTTTCATTTTAATCGGCTGTTATAGGAAGTGAATTTTGATGTATGTACCTCACAAATGTTGCTTGTCTTCAAATCAATTTTCCATTCAGCAGTCAGGTACTCATCTTTTTCATATAACTTCTAAACGTCGCAACTGATTGGGTTGAAATTTTATATGGGTATTTCGATGGTTTTCTGGATGATTTAAAAATACAATTGGACGTTGTAGGGGGTCTGCTGTCGGTACGTCAACTAATGAACGGCTTGGCCAATTGGGTTGAAATTTTTAATACGTAAAACAACAAAAAAAATACAAAAGATACTGAGAGAATGAAAATAGGTGTAAGTATAAAATAGTAGCTATAGGTGAGCTCAAAAAATTCGAAAAAAAAAAAATATATATGTACGTTAATTTAAATGGGTACACCAACGTTGCCTGGAACCGTAGCTAGTATCTTATTAATCAGAATTTCTATAAATGTGTGTACTTTTGTAACGTCTTCGTGAGGTTATACAAAACTTTCACTGGATCAAATTTGTACGTACCTGTGAAATATCAGGTTATGATATTATTTGTAACTAACTTTTCTTCACAGATTTCTCATTGCCGGATCATATTCATTTAGAAAACAGTGTGCTTTAGATTTATAATGAGTTACTGAAACACCGAAATCTGATCACACAATAGCCGGCAAACCATTAATAATAACAAAAAGGACATATATGACAATAATTCTCAAATAATCCATATTTTCTATTTTGTAATGTACCTTATAATAACTAATAAGTTTATAATTATTAGTGAATTTCCGACAATTACGTTATTATGGACTTATTATGTTTTGAAGGTTGTTCTATTTTGTGTCATAAGTTATTTATGCCGAGGTGGAAAAGATGTTTTTTCCGAATAATCTTCTCGATTTATCGATTTGGGAGCGGTTCCACATAGGTACTTAGAATGTGATGCCTTTTCCACAGAAGAAATAAGTAAAATAAAAATCACTTTTTTCAACTAGTTACTCTTATTTTTCAACAAAATCTGTTTGTCCACTAAATAATTTCACCGAGGATGTCATGGCCACTCTGAGAGAAAATGATGGGTTTTGTTCAACCCATGATTTTACTCGTTAAATATTCCGAGATTCAGTATGTAATGTTTGAATAATTAAAATTCTGTAATCGGTTAGGCTGAAAATGCTCAAAAATATATGGCAATTAAAACTTAATGTATCTCTTGACATGAACAGCACTTCTAAGAACGTATAATGATCATTATGTACACAACATTCTCGTAATGGACTTTCGATTAATTGATGTTTCAAATTATCAATACTGCTAGCATAATATTGGCATTGAGACGTTGAAGTAATATGGAAATTGCGGTTTTAGTGTTGTCTTTAGATAGTGATAAGAAATATTGTGGTTGACATCATTTTCGTTCAATATTACTTTTTAATAAAAAATGTCTGATGCGAGTGTAAGATATTCGGTGAAATATAATGTTTAACAAAAAAAGTAATGTCAGTGCACAAACTAGTGCTCAAATGAATATGAACCGGAAGAGTTGTCCTACCTCATTCAAAACTGATATTCTACCAGATTCACCAAAAGAGAGGTATCCAATTAAGATGATCATTAAAAAAAAATTCAAATCATAATATCATATGAACAAAGTGAGATACAATTACTTGGTACTTTACTGGTACTTTACAATTTTTATTTTACAATCGACACAGATTCATTTGGAATGTTAAGTCAAGTTGATCAATATTTCGTCTCTACAACGACTTTGCTTTCTAACTGATCTGTTCTCAAAAATTAGTTTTAAATTTTGATTCAATAAAAGCCAATTTCATTCATCTGTGAACACAAAAATATATGCAAACTTTGTGAGACTCAGCTTTTCCAAATCTGAATGTACTCAAGGACTGTAATACATTAAAGAGAAACTAAGGAAATCTTGGGAAAAAAACAAAACATTTAATTTAACATTTGGATAAAAATGAATAAGACCTATCCAACTTTCCTATTTTGGTTTCAGATATGGAAGAAGTCAAGATAGTTGTCAGCAAGACAAATTCTTGGATGTAAATAAGAAAATTAGACTAGTGCAAGATCAATTAGATAATATTAGGGAAAATTATGATTTAGTGAAGTCTATGCAGACGGAAATACACGATTTGAATATATCATTACAGGTAATTGAATAGTGTGCTTGTCTCTCACTTGGGATAATTTTTAAAAAATCCAAAACTTCCTGAAGAAGCATTATATTTTCTTAGGAGGAGCGGTTTAAGAGCGAAAGACTGGAAGAGCAAATAAATGACTTGACGGAACTTCATCAGAACGAAGTGGAAAATCTGAGGCAAGCCATGGCCGACATGGAAGAGAAAGTACAATACCAGAGTGAAGAGAGGCTCAGAGATATACATGAAATGCTGGAACATTGTCAAACTAAAGTGAGTGTACATCAAAAAAACAAAAAAATACTCGTTGATATAAATGATGAAACGAAGTGGCCTTAGAACGGTTCCTTGTGGAACACTACAAATTGAATAAGTTTTGAAGCTGAACTTGCCTTGTAACATATGAAATCTCATTTATATATTTTTCGTGGGGTGGAAAAATGTTCGTTTTCTGTTTTAGATTCAGAAAATGGAACACCAAGCTCTGCAGCAGCAACAATATGTCACATTAGAAGGTTTGGACAATTCCAATGCCAGGGCTCTCGTAGTGAAACTCATCAACGTTTTGCTCACCGTTCTGCAAGTGGTCTTGTTGTTGGTCGCTACGGGGGCCGGTATCATAATGCCATTTCTTCGTACAAGGTGAGATGAATTTTTGATCAAATAATTGATAACATGGCATTTCGAATTTTATTATTCGAAGAATCTACGAAAATCTGTTAGATTTTATTTCTTCTGTATTTCTTAGTCGATGTGGAATCTGACCAATCATTCACTAGTGATGACCAATGGAAATGTTCGCAAAAATTCCATGGGTGTACCGGTATTGAATTTTTTCTCTGATTTTTATTCTTACAATTTCAGAACTGTACCAATTTTATGAAGAAAATGAATCAATCCAACTTAGGTTAGAATCAATATAGCGCCTGGTTAGCATCATACTGCAACTGACCTTTTTAAACGAAGTGTATCTCTGATATGTATTATACAGGGTGTTTCACAGGTAAAGGGAAATATTTCAATGGTATAGGGGTCTCCAAAGTGGTTCTAAAAATATCATATTTGATGAGTTATACAGTGTTTATAACGGAGACACAGGGTGATTTATCGATTTCGAAAAATTATTCACTCGTCCATAAGTATTGAACCACCCAGTATATTTTCCTCCCAAGTATAAATTTGAGGATGATGATAGCTAATCTTGAAAGTAATGGAATATTTCAAGGATATGAGAAAATTGAATGCGCTCAGCAGTTAATTACCAATCAACTAATCACCTACCCCAAGAAAAATATCTGTTTAGAATATGGATACATCAACACATATGAAAAATATTAATAATATTGAAAGGTAAACTAATGAATTCCACTCACTCCAATATGAAAGTTATAACATTTCAATTCTGAGTAATCAAATCATGCCAGCTATTTTTCAATCAAATTGTCCTGACACCAGGTATTGTTTAAGATTGACTTTAAATCTTCTAGTAACATTATTCTATTGATTTTATATATGGTGCCAACCAGGGCGCCATATTAATTTTAATCTTAGTTGGATTGCCTAATTTCAGCAAAATCAGTTGAATTCAGCATATAGGTCGCGTGCACGATGACCGACCCTGGAGGTAAAACATTGAAACACAACCTCACTTTTTTATTTGTTTACAGAGAAATCAAAGGATTGAAATAGTTTTTCACAATATTTTGGCATACGAATCGTGTTTTTTTGCGCTATTCATCAATTCAAGCATGCCTTCTCATAATGCTGTTGTACAATGATCAAAAAATGCAGCGAGAGACGAAGGAATATGATTTCTTTAGGTAAATGGTAATCTCACATAGTTTTCATTATGAAATTTTGCTGCATCTAGATTAATCTAGATATCTACAACACACACGATCCTGTTTCGTCAGCATGTCAGACCAGTCCTCCCGTTTGATTGCATGAATCCAATCTTCTTGCATTCTTTTAGAAATTTCAGGAGTATCTCATTGCAGAAGGAATTCCGATGAGAACTCGGAGAATTTTCTAAATTTCAAAATAAAAACTATATGCGAATGACTATAGTAGGTACTTACTTCTAAATCATAATGTACCAACCGGATTCCTTCGTCTCTCGCTGCATTTTTTGTGCATTGTACAACAGTACAATGCAAACGCATGCTTGAATTAATGAATAGCGCAAAAAACACGATTCGTTTGCTATCATATTGTGAAAAACTATTTCAATCTTTTAATTCCTCTGTAACCAAATAAAAAAGTGAGGTTGTGTTTCAATAATTCACAGAAGAGTGAGGTTATTGTGTTCCAATATTTTACCCCCAGGGTCGGTCATCATACACGCGACCTATTACAGCAAAACTGTCAAATACATACAGGGCCTCTACTCATAGCCAGTATTTTCTTGTAAACAGCGGACCATCTTTTGCAGGTTAAGAATACTGTCGACGGTGATCATAGTGATAGGTATAGCGTTCGTGTTGCGGCAATGGCCAGAGGTGCAAGATATCGGCTCGCACATGATGAGAAGGCTCAAGGACATGCTCGCGCCTGCCCAATAGCGTTTTTCCTGCTGTCCATTTTTTTGTTTATTAGGCCAATGAATTATTATTATAAACGGGCGGATCGCCGGAAACAATATCGAAGGAGCGAGATAATGTCAGAGTCACCTTTTTCGCTAGGTTTTTGTGTGTTTCAGGAAAATCGGAACCATGAGAAATAGTTATTTGTTTTACTAGGTTGTGAAGTAGTAGATTTACTGTCAAGGCAGTCAATCTACATTTGCTGCTGTGTGAAACATAATTTTTTCTCCAAATGTTATAAAACCAATTTTGTGTAATTTTGTATTGAAAACTATCATTTTCCGTTCACCCAATGTCAGTGTCAATTTTGATTACCAATTTCATTCAAATTACTCGGAACGTTGCATAGCAACAAACTTTTCCTGTCTAGGCAGAAAAAGTACACTTTTCCTGCCTGTCAAGTGTCGGAGAAGAGCCACTTTCTATGCCGCTTGGAGAAAGACGTCATTTTTGTTTCAGGAAGCAATATTTTAAAAAGCAATTTTTAACACGCCGTTATTTGTATTGAAAAAAAAACTGTTCTCGCATTTCAGAGATTGATTTTTTCCAAATTGTTCAATTACTTGATTTGATACTGAGTTTTTCACTTTACTTGACCAACCTTCCTCCTTAAGTCTCTTTTAAGAATGAATGAAAAAATTCCACGAAGTTTCAGGGTTCCATCTATACATTTTCTAAATACTAATACTACTATTGCTCGGAACTCCGAGGTCATATTTTCTGGGCCGAAATAAGAAAAGAAGGTAATATAAACATATGTCCGAAAACGATTCGTTACTTAAAAAAATCGATTTTTCATCAATTTCGAAAAAATGCCTGAACTGACAAAAATGAACGTACGTATTCACTTTTAATTCATACTGCAACTCAACAAATTCAACCTGTTTTGCATATTTTTGGACCATTCATTCATCATCATTGTCACTGTTCTTTTCTCCACAGGCTCACAGACTATCATGGGTATGGTTTTAATTTTTTTCCTCTAAAACTAAGCCGATACGAAAAAAAGTCGAGATCCAAATGAGCTTTATTTTTGAGTTGCTTCCATCAAAAAAATTACGGACATTTGAAAAAAAACTACTATGTGTTATTTTTTGTGCAAAAACTTTATTTCAGGCTTTCTTATTGTTTCTTCGGAAAAATGGTATGGAAATGGCAAAATATTAATTTCATAATTTTTAAAATATTGCTTACTGAATTACAGAGAGATTCTTGAGATTCATTCTAACGACTTTCTAGAATTGATTCAACAAATTTTAAAAACTCGGCATGAAAAGGACAGAGTTGAAAAATATAAATGATTATTCTGCTGAAATGCAATCATTAGTTTTCTAAAATTCGGCCGAAAAAATTGTACCAAAGTGTATTTTTCCTGGAAACCATGCTTTCGATATTGTTTCAGTGATCCAAACGCATTTTGGTGAAAAAATCTCAAAAAAACTACCTTGTGAAAGCGTCACTTTTTGAGCTTCTCGCAAAATTTAGCATTATTTATACAAGCATCATGTCAAATTAAATTATATTTTCTTTTCTATTGAATATTTGTTTGTGATGTACTGACTTTTGTTGTGATTTGAGTTGAATTTGATTGTGCAACATAAAAAAAAAACGGTTTTTAAACAATGCCAAGATGTTTTAAAAGTCATTTACTTTTATACTGATATATTTTATTAGATGAATTAAATTGATATTTATTATGTATGGTGGTGTTTCATTTACTTATACAGGGTGATCCTGCAGTTGTCATGAAATATTTGAATGTTTTGTTGTATGGAAATGGATAATCTGAACAGAAAAAGGTCCAATTTGGGTAAGTAGAAAATATTTTAATGCACATTAATTATTGTTTTATTATGAAGTTGATATATTTTTTTTCAAATAAGTTTGTCAAATTAAACAGTGATTCTCTATTCACATCATAGGATGGTCGATTCTTCACCTTAATTTTCTCACAGGATAAGAAGTTTCTGTTGTTGAGGAGAATAATAACAATAAAATATAATCTTGCATCAATATAAACAAGATATTTGATGAACATTGACCTACATTTTTGTGAGCCAATTGTTGAACTTTGCATTAAAACAATAAAAAACAAAGACGAGAAGTCCGTTACTGATTGTAACAACTTCTACAAAGCCGCACAAACTACCCTAGATATACAGGGTGTCCCGTGAAGATCACTTCAATCTGAGAGAGATAATGTAGATCAGAGGAATGTATCCTGCTATAAAAAAATCTTTCGAGATATTTTTCTTCATGGAGAAAAAATCTACTCTCAATACTTCTATGATTGAAATATTTCTCACAGCCATGTTCGGCGTATTTTTCAATATACAGGGAGTTAATTAATTGAGTGCCGATAGTAATAGGTGTGAAGCCTCGTATGATTTCAAGGAGAAAAGTTTAAATAAACATATGTTCTGAACCTCTTAGTTTTTGAGCTTACAGGGTGTTTTAATCAGATGCGTAATTTTTTTTTTAACAAAACACTCAATATCAGGCCTACGTAAACATCACTGTTTAACGTAAAAAATTGATTTTCTTCCCATAACAAAATTTCTTCCCACTCTTAGTGGATGCCTACAAAATTTCACCAGAATGCCAAAAACAATCTCGGAAAAAAATTTTTGTTTATTATTTATTTACGCGAAGACGGTAGGTTTTATGAAAGTAAGTCCTGAAATCAAATTTGATCCAAAATGAATGGAGAATTCAGAAATAATTTTGGTAGTCAGAAAACTAGTTGCGTACCATTTTTTTCTTCAAAAAATTGTCAGTTCAAACCCCGTACGGACGTCACTGATGAAAATTTTAAAATACCTTTCACGTCAAAATTTCAAGAGTGCAAAATTATGATGAAAAACTAAATTTTTTTCTTAATTGTTAGGAATCAACTAGAAAAGTGTAAATTGTTCCAACAGCACAGCAAAAACGATCGACTAAATCTCGGAAACGCAAACTTTTGAATGTTTTTTTTTCATCTACATTCTCCTTCAGTTTGATGTGGTATTTTTAACGGACGCCATATTTATTTTGAAACATATGCATTGATGCATTGATTTATTTATTATCATTATCTCTTGCATCAATAACATTTTGCAGAAACAAAAATATTACGATAAATATGTACTTTCCTCTCTTTAATATTACTGATAAAATGTTAAATATACACAACAATTTTGATAACAAATATTATTGATGGGCTGTATCTTGTACTGATTGAAGTAAAATACATATTATACATATTTTTGAGAACAATCATCTTCATGTGAACTGAGTTATCATTTTTTCAAGGGCTTTTCTATCATTTCCTCAAGCACCATGGCTGATAAACTTCTGAAAATTGGATTTATCGGTGGTGGTAAAATGGCACAAGCTATGGCCCAAGGTTTCATATCAGCAGGTAAATTACTCATTTTATTATAATCAATAATAAGGTATCTCATCTCCAATCAGAAATTTTTTCACGGCATTTCTTTCTATATACACTTTTTATCTTCTCTCTTCAATGAAGAAACTATTATTATTATTATTATTTCAGGTTTAACAAAAGGGGATTCTATGATTGCAAGCTGTCATCCTTCTGATTTAGCATCAGCAAAGGCATTCAAGGCAAGTAGAATAATATTCAACCCTCAATATATAGCAAGTATTTTCATTTTTCCAAATTTTGTGTAGGATCTAGGAGCAGAATCGATTTTTGAAAATGTTCCGGTAGTTCAAAAGTCTGACGTGGTCATAGTTTCTGTGAAACCTTCTATAGTACCAATAGCACTAGGTGACATAAAAAATGGAAATGTTAAAGCTGATAAGTTATTTTTATCCATAGCTATGGGGGTTACCACAAAACAATTAGAAAAGGTAAGAAATCCATAGGTGCTCATATAAGTACTTGAATCTACAGGGCGATTCGATAAATATATTTCAACATCTTCACACAAATCATATCACGAAACAAAAAACAATTCAGTATTCAGTCATTGCATGATTTTGGTATAACCTCCCCTAATAGCACACAACGTCCTAGGGACGTCCCTATTTGGTACAATTCACGTCCGAATGTCCCGAATCAAAGATAAGTGTCCTTGGGACGTCCCATCCTGTACATCTCATGCAATGTCCGAGCAAGGACGTCCACGGAATGTCCCAGCTGGTACATCATTTTAAATGTCCTAGAAATAGCATCCCTGAGACGTCCCACGTGGTACATAAATTAAATATTACTGACGAAAATATTCATATTATCAAAATATCCTTTTTTCGGAAAGTGCTTGTCAAAAAATGGTCATCATTTGAAAAATAATAGTTAAGACACGAAAATGTAATTTTGCCAACTTGTCTTATTCATATCCATCAAACTTGTCACTAAAACTTCGCGATTGTAATTTTCTGATATCACCCGAGGTCCTTAGATTAGTTTACTTCCGATCATGGCCACCTAGATGTAATTTCAAAAGTGACTCCGAAAAAATTAAGTAGGCATAAAAACTTTGGGAAATGTCACATTCTGATCTAGAATTGTCTCAGAAATCCACAAATGTTACAATATACAGGATGTTCCATTTAAAAATTTAGAACCGGAGCCATTTCCAGTGAAACCGGAAGTGACCGGAAAGTGAAAAATATGTAAAAACTCTCCTTTCGACATACCATTTACCTATACCAAATCTCGTTTCGATACACCAGATGGTCTAGAAGTTATTACTTGCCTAATAGCGATTCGTTGACACCCGGTATATATCCGGGAAAAAAGTACTCACTTTCTTCCCGTGGGAGAAAAGTAATTTATGAAAAGTGACATTTTATAACCTGTCAACAGAGATGAAATGTCGAACTTTTTTCCCGTCACAGAAAAAAAAATTCTTTTAGTTACTGCCTGAAGAATCTCGAGTTATAAGAGTGATGCCGAATACTCCTGCCCTAGTGAGATGTGCAGCATCTGTTTTCGTCACCGGTAGTAATGCCACGAAATCGGATGCAAAAATCACAAAACAGCTCTTGGAGTCTATAGGAACCTGCGAGGAGGTATCCGAGGGACTTCTAGACCCCATCACCGCATTGAGTGGTTCGGGACCCGCATATGTAAGTCAAAAAATCAATAATTATTTGGACTTTTTTTTCCGTTATTTATCAATGAGTTGAATGGATACAACACTATAGATTTCTACTCAACTGCTATATTCAACGCAACTTAGATATTCGCCAATTTTTTCCTATTAATTGTTCCAAAATCCCAATTTTTTAACCATCTGAGTCGATCCATCTTGCAGTGGAGTGAAGATAATAGGGCAGGAAGAAAATCTTACATTCAACTCCACCAAAACTATACTTTATTTGAATTGGAAACATGCCCCAATTTACAATTTAAATAAAGTATAGTTTTGGTGGAGTTGACTGTGAGATTTTCTTCCTGCCCTCCCAATTTTTTAGTCATTCACCAAAATAACAATAGTTATTTATTATACAAGGGAAAAAAGTAGTAGATTTTAGCTCCAGGTTGTGTTGTCTCCCGACGCGTAGCGGAGGGCAGACAAAAAACCGTGAGCTAAAATCTAATATTTTTCCCGTGTATAATACACTATTTTTTTTCTGTGACAGAAGGAAGGACGAATCAATATTGATAGGATATTACATTATTTCGTAATCTGAAAATTATCGACGTGAAATTTCAAGTTTTTAACAGTAGGGACACCTGCGTTTTCTAGGCATCTTTATCATTCTTTTGAAGTAATCAAATATCTGATGTCACTTCTGTCAGTTCAATTCTGTGATTTGATTTTAAAAAATTGCGAATTCAGTAGTTGTTTAGTAATATACGAAACCGCGGAGTCGAATGGAAGATAAAAGGACTTGCAGTTCTTTCTCGGAGACGGTATTATTGACTCATTTTTCGGAACTATAGCACAACAAAAGCCATTAACAGAGTATACATATATATGTGATATATATATCCGGGAAAAAAGTACCTACTCACTTTTTTCCCACGGGAAAAAAGTAATTTATGAAAAGTGACATTTTATAACCTGCCAACAGAGATGAAATGCCAAACTTTTTTCCCGTCACAGAAAAAAAATATTTTTGATCACCATGACAATGGGCTTATATCACAAAAAATTTTTATTTCATAATTCGATAGAACTCATCCAAACTAGCTCACCACCGCAAACCGTTTCTTGCTGTGAGCTCCATACGTTTTATAAAAAATTATTGAAATCCCCGATTTTTCGGACCTCTGATAACGAGGCGATGATGTGACGTCAAAACCCTACTACTGAAACAAGACTATTCCAGACAGAGATGAATGAAACATGATTTCTGACAGAGTGAATTAGCGCAAGATCACAGTTGAAAGAATTAATATATCAGTTGCCTCAGTCTCCGTCGGGAGTTTGGTATTTTCTTTTAACTATGGCGAGATGAGGTTTCTACGTCATAAGAGGGTCCGTTTTCAGAAGGTACTATTATTTATGTCCAAAAATAAAACATTCCAGTTAATTTTTCGATCGAATTATGTCGTCAATCATTATTTATGTATAAAAGGATCATTATAAACATGGTTTGAGTTAAAAGTTCTACTAAGGTGTACACGCCCATTAGAGACGTTTCGAAATTCTCCCTTGAAATTATAAGGTCGATTTTTGTGGATTTCAGATCTACGTGTTGATCGAAGCCCTAGCTGACGGAGCAGTGAAAATGGGACTGCCTAGGGACTTGGCCTACCGTCTAGCTTCCCAGACGGTTTTGGGGGCCGGCAAAATGGTCCAGCACACGAAAACCCATCCGGCCATACTCAAAGATGACGTCACTTCCCCTGCCGGGTCCACGGCAGCCGGATTACATGCGTTGGAAGAAAATAGTAAGGATATTGGAAAATATGATTTTATGGAAAAATTCACGGAATTATTAATATTTGTCAGAATTAGCATGTTTGTTGCAAAGGAAATGGTAATGTTCCTGATATCTTGAAGACTATAGGACAAACTGAAAGAGAAAGTAGATCAAAATGCTTTCCTCTACAATGAAAAAATCCACACTATGAAAGTGTCACCGTTTCATGAAAACATGAGTTTTTGTCCCTCACAGTACTTTTTTCTGTGTTAATTGTTACTACCTATTAGCGATAGAAAATAAGTGTACGCCACCTATCGGAGTTTTTGAAAGCTGTCAAAGCGGTCTGTTTACTTTGTTTTCATTGGTTCACATTTGTTTCTTGTTTGTGAAGTGTTAGAATATTGCCGTCAGGTAGCGCGACGTGTTATTTTCTATCACTAATACTTATCTAATTCAGAGAATATTGTTGAAGGATTATTCTGATTTCTATAGCATCAAAAAAATACTCTGAACATTTTGAGGGATGCTGTCAGAAGTTCTGTGCACTTACTTTTTTTAGAAAAATATCCAAAACTTTCTCAGTCTGATATTGGCCTTTACAGGATTTCCTGTATATGGTTAATGTGGTATTGTATGTACTAAAAATATATCAGGAAATGATGAAATGAGAATCTGATATGATAACAATTCATATTTTTTGCAGGTTTTCGTGCTTCTGTCATTGCAGCCATACAAGCTGCCACCCAGAGATGTAGGGAAGTATCTAATGAAGGCAGGAATAAATGAAAAAATCCCAAGAAAATCCCTCAATTATCTATAATCATGAAGAAATATGGCTCCTTCACATACACACATTCTTTATTAGAAACTGATTTAGGATTTCATTGAAATGGTTGTTCCATGAGTACTGACTTATAGAGAATGAGAAAAGATGGATAGGTTTCTATGAAATTATAAGATAACATTATTTGTGATGGTGGTCTAGGTGAATAAGTATATCAATGGTTATTTTCGAATATACACATATTTTTATTTATATTCCAAATGATTGAATTTCATTTTTATGAAAAATTACACAAACAAAAACTATTGCTATTGAATGTTTTATTTATTTATTTTGTATGTATCACTAGGACTTTAAAGGATTATATAAGCATCTTAAAATCTCCTTTACAAACCTTAATACAGACCAAATTCTGACTGGTCAATTCTTTGAATCATTTTAGTGTTTATTTAGGTTCTAAACCATAACAGTAATCAAAGCAAGGGTTCCTTTTTTGTGTTAAATGATTTTTGCAATCCAAATACCATATTCAAACTATTCAAACCCCTTATAGCACCCTAACTAAGCAATTTTGTACTGTTAGTTTGATAAAAATTGCTTTGGTCAAAGAAATAAGTGGTAATCTGTTGGAATGACCTTTCAGAGCCCCATTATTGATAGAAGATAATATATTTATTGAATGTTAGACAATTTTCTATGAAGCTTCCATTGAAAAAAAAAACAACCTATACAATAAATCACATGAGAATAATCAATGAACTAAAAATCATGGAAAAACATTGTAGTTTCATTAAATTTATAATCTGTATTATTTATGTTAAAATCCAACTGGAATTGGAAGGTCTATAAATTTGAGCTGAAATTTGGTTTATAAATAATACAAAAAAATAAATGATCTATTCTTTATACATGAAATAGTGTGGTCTGTCTTTCACAATCTCTAAAGATACAATTTATATAAAATATCTGTGTAATAAATTTTCTTATCTTTTGAACTGAATTGATTAAGATAACAAAACAACTTGAATAATAAATTATGTAGTTATGAAAAATATACAAAACTAATTATCTTACTATTGTCTGTAGGTCAATAATCTAACTATTCTCAAATCAACAACCAGTAAACATAAACAACAGGACATTCTCATCTATCCCACTTGTTTTTCTTCACATAAAAAACCACCCCAAAAGTCCCCATTCACGTCTCTTCTTGGTTCCTGGGTGGTCTGAGAAACACATTCCTCTTAATACACTCCACCAACCACTTGATCCCCTCATCCACCCCGTCTCCAGTCAAAGCAGACACTGGCAACACCATGCAATCCCTCTTCCCTATCAAATGAGCGTTCTTATTGAAAATTGGCTTCACCTCTCTCACCCCCATACACTCGGGCACATCCTGTTTATTAGCCAAGACAAGCAGAGGCACCCCTTGCAAAAACTCACTGGCTATCATCTTGTCAAATATGTCTTTGGACTCCTCAATTCTGTCCCTATCTGTGGAGTCTACAATGTAGATAATAGCGTGTGATTCTTCATAGTATTTGTCCCAGAGGGACTGGAGTTCAGATTGGCCCCCCAGGTCCCAGAAATTCAGCCTGATGCCTGCCACATCTATTTTTCCTATGTTGAGGCCCACGGTGGTGGTTATTTTGGATGGATGGACCCCTATGTAGTTTTTGCTCAGCTTCGTTTTGGCTGCTTCGAGGAATGTGGTTTTGCCTGCGTTGTCCAGTCCCAGGATCAGTACGCAAAATTCGTCTTTTTGCACCATGTATTTGTAGAATCCGTGGACTAAGGTAAACATATTTCATTTTCGAACCTAACCTCTTTCACTATCAACTTGAAACTCGAAATATTTGAATAGATTGTTCAGTCATACATTTTTCATATTCACTTTTTCTGCAACATGATTATCTTTGACAACAAGACATCATGACAACACATAAAGATAAAACTGACAGCTGACAGTATTGACAGACAGCTATTTGACATTGTTTCAATTTACACAGGGTGGGATTCAGAATTTCAGAAATAGAGAACTCGAAAAATACTGGCTATTTGATTATTCCTCTATAAATATGAATGATTAGGGGACATAATGGGAGTGTTCAATCCATAGACGTATTAATAAAACAACCGGTCAATGAAAATACTCAAAACAATGAGTTTTTTCGTGGTTATTTCAAAAATTTAAATTCCATATTTTTAATAGGGTAGGTACTGCACTGGATTGTTGTTTCCACCAATGTTGCCGAACTTCAATTTCTTCCGCAGAATCAAGGACATATGAATCAATAGTTTAATACCATACAAATTGTTAGTAGTGGTTAATAATGTTTCGATCCATTGTTGTTTATTATAACCTGACCTATAATAGGTCAATGGTAACGATATGAAATAGAACACACAAACTCAAAATCTATCTCTGTTTATCAGCTATGAACTGGATGAGACAGAAAATAACTCCAAAGAAAATGTTGGAGCTCCACTACCAATATACTACCATTGAAACTTTACTTGTTTATTGATAATCACATCAGAAATATTCAAGAAAACACATGCGCAAAAAATGGTAAAAGTACACTTATCATGTAATGGTTTTTTTTCGAAATATTTTTTGGTACACGTATTTTCGTCTGAAAAACACGAATTTCACAATGAAAATGTGAACAACTTCTTTTTCCATCACTGGATACTTCATATACTCACGTTGTACTTCAATAACACATTTTATTTACTAAAATCAACAAGAAGTATGGTTTATTCGGATTTTTTTAGTATTTTTAGTGAGGTGAAAGCAATAGTTCGGTTTCTCTAGTTTCATGAATTTTTTTTTGACATTTGTCCTTTATTCGACATCTTGTATTTTTATTTTGAGTTCTGTTATTTGTATTTAGATTAGATAATTGAATGGCCGTAAGCTGGTGTGACTGTTTACTTGTGTGAAGTTAGCGCCCGACGCCAGCGCCCAAATCTAGCGCTTACCCCCCACTACCAAGTCCGATTCACACGATAAAAAATATGATGGACCTCAGATGATGGACTTTGCTGATTATGAGACCACGACATGGATATGACGAAGCCAAGAACATATTTTAATTATAGAAATAGTATGATTGACGGGAAGTAATAAATACTGGACAACGAAGAAATGAAATTGTCTTTTTCTCACTGACCAGCTTTTGTGACAATCAGGAGAATATACCTCTGCTACCAATTGGGAATGAGAGAGTGAATTCATACCCCCACATTAAAACAGAAACAAGCTCTTGAGCAAGGTTACGATTTGGTGAAAAATGTTGAGGAAAGCCTCCAAATTTCCAATTCCAACCTAAACTTTTTTTTTCAGAGAAATAACTATTGTGATAAGATGCGAATTTCGATTCCCTGAAATGTCGGTTTCATAGAAAAACGTGAACAATGAACAATTTTTTTCTCACAAATGAGCTCTTGAGATAGGATGCGATTTGGTGGAGAATGTTGAGAAAAGCAAGTCATATTAACCTCCACAATTACAATTTCCTAAATTATCGGCATCATGGAAAAAAAGTGAACCAACAATTTTTTTCTCACAAACGAGCTCTTGAGACAGGATGCGATCTGGTAGAAAATGTCGAGAAAAGCGAGTCGTATTAGCTTCCACAATTTCAGTTTCCTAAAATATCGACATCATAGAAAAAAAGTGCCCCCACCCCATACCCTAAACAATTTTTTCTCCACAAACGAGCTCTTGAGACAGGATGCGATTTGGTGGAGAATGTTGAGAAAAGCAAGTCATATTAACCTTCACAATTTCAATTTCCAACTTGAAGTTCGAACTTGAAGGTTGAAATTGAAGGCTGATCTTGAAGTTTGAACTTCAAGTTCAAATTTCAAGTTCAAACTTCAAGTTCAAATTTCAAGTTCAAACTTCAAGTTCAGCCTTCAATTTCAACCTTCAAGTTCGAACTTCAAAGGTTGAACTAGAAGTTTGAACTTGGAGGTTGAACTTGAAGGTTGAACTTGAAGTTTGAACTTGAAGTTTGAACTTGAACTTGAAGGTTGAACTTGAAGGTTGAACTTGAAGTTTGAACTTGAAGGTTCAACTTGAAGATTGAACTTGAAGATTGAACTTGAAGGTTGAACTTGAAGGTTCAACTTGAAGTTTGAACTTGAAGGTTGAACTTGAAGTTTGAACTTGAAGGTTCAACTTGAAGTTTGAACTTGAAGGTTCAACTTGAAGTTTGAACTCGAAGATTGAACTTGAAGTTTGAACTTGAAGGTTGAACTTGAAGGTTGAACTTGAAGGTTCAACTTGAAGTTTGAACTTGAAGGTTGAACTTGAAGTTTGAACTTGAAGGTTGAACTTGAAGTTTGAACTTGAAGATTGAACCTGAAGTTTGAACTTGAAGGTTGAACTTGAAGTTTGAACTTGAAGTTTGAACTTGAAGGTTGAACTTGAAGTTTGAACTTGAAGGTTGAACTTGAAGGTTGAACTTGAAGGTTGAACTTGAAGTCTGAACTTGAAGTTTGAACTTGAAGGTTCAACTTGAAGTTTGAACTTGAAACTTGAACTTGAAGTTTGTTATTGAAGGTTGAACTTGAAGGTTCAACTTGAAGTTTGAACTTGAAGTTTGAACTTGAATGTTCAACTTGAAGTTTGAACTCGAAGTTTGAACTTGAAGGTTCAACTTGAAGTTTGAACTTGAAACTTGAACTTGAAGTTTGAACTTGAAGGTTGAACTTGAAGGTTCAACTTGAAGTTTGAACTTGAAGTTTGAACTTGAATATTCAACTTGAAGTTTGAACTTGAAGTTTGAACTTGAAGGTTGAACTTGAAGGTTCAACTTGAAGTTTGAACTTGAAGGTTGAACTTGAAGTTTGAACTTGAAGGTTGAACTTGAAGTTTGAACTTGAAGGTTGAACTTGAAGGTTGAACTTGAAGTTTGAACTTGAAGGTTGAACTTGAAAGTTCAACTTGAAGTTTGAACTTGAAGGTTGAACTTGAAGTTTGAACTTGAAGTTTGAACTTGAAGTTTGAACTTGAAGGTTTAACTTGAAGTTTAAACTTGAAGTTTGAACTTGAAGGTTCAACTTGAAGTTTGAACTTGAAACTTGAACTTGAAGTTTGTTATTGAAGGTTGAAATTGAAGGTTCAACTTGAAGTTTGAACTTGAAGTTTGAACTTGAATGTTCAACTTGAAGTTTGAACTTGAAGTTTGAACTTGAAGGTTCAACTTGAAGTTTGAACTTGAAACTTGAACTTGAAGTTTGAACTTGAAGGTTGAACTTGAAGGTTCAACTTGAAGTTTGAACTTGAAGTTTGAACTTGAATGTTCAACTTGAAGTTTGAACTTGAAGTTTGAACTTGAAGGTTGAACTTGAAGGTTCAACTTGAAGTTTGAACTTGAAGGTTGAACTTGAAGTTTGAACTTGAAGGTTGAACTTGAAGTTTGAACTTGAAGGTTGAACTTGAAGGTTAAACTTGAAGTTTGAACTTGAAGGTTGAACTTGAAAGTTCAACTTGAAGTTTGAACTTGAAGGTTGAACTTGAAGTTTGAACTTGAAGTTTGAACTTGAAGTTTGAACTTGAAGGTTGAACTTGAAGTTTAAACTTGAAGGTTGAACTTGAAGGTTCAACTTGAAGTTTGAACTTGAAGGTTGAACTTGAAGTTTGCACTTGAGGGTTGAACTTGAAGTTTGAACTTGAAGTTTGAACTTGAAGTTTGAACTTGAAGGTTGAACTTGAAGTTTGAACTTGAAGGTTGAACTTGAAGGTTCAACTTGAAGTTTGAACTTGAAAGTTCAACTTGAAGTTTGAACTTGAAGGTTGAACTTGAAGGTTCAACTTGAAGTTTGAACTTGAAGGTTGAACTTGAAGTTTGAACTTGAAGGTTGAACTTGAAGTTTGAACTTGAAGGTTGAACTTGAAGGTTCAACTTGAAAGTTCAACCTGGAGTTTGAACTTGAAGGTTGAACTTGAAGTTTGAACTTGAAGTTTGAACTTGAAGGTTGAACTTGAAGTTTAAACTTGAAGGTTGAACTTGAAGGTTCAACTTGAAGTTTGAACTTGAAGGTTGAACTTGAAGTTTGAACTTGAAGGTTGAACTTGAAGTTTGAACTTGAAGTTTGAACTTGAAGTTTGAACTTGAAGTTTGAACTTGAAGGTTCAACTTGAAGTTTGAACTTGAAACTTGAACTTGAAGTTTGAACTTGAAGGTTGAACTTGAAGTTTGAACTTGAAGGTTGAACTTGAAGTTTGAACTTGAAGGTTGAACTTGAAGGTTCAACTTGAAGTTTGAACTTGAAAGTTCAACTTGAAGTTTGAACTTGAAGGTTGAACTTGAAGTTTGAACTTGAAGTTTGAACTTGAAGGTTGAACTTGAAGTTTAAACTTGAAGGTTGTACTCGAAGGTTCAACTTGAAGTTTGAACTTGAAACTTGAACTTGAAGTTTGAACTTGAAGGTTGAACTTGAAGGTTCAACTTGAAGTTTGAACTTGAAGTTTGAACTTGAATGTTCAACTTGAAGTTTGAACTTGAAGTTTGAACTTGAAGGTTGAACTTGAAGGTTCAACTTGAAGTTTGAACTTGAAGGTTGAACTTGAAGTTTGAACTTGAAGGTTGAGCTTGAAGTTTGAACTTGAAGGTTGAACTTGAAGGTTAAACTTGAAGTTTGAACTTGAAGGTTGAACTTGAAAGTTCAACTTGAAGGTTGAACTAGAAGGTTGAACTTGAAGTTTGAACTTGAAGTTGGAACTTGAAGGTTGAACTTGGAGTTTAAACTTGAAGGTTGAACTTGAAGGTTTAACTTGAAGTTTGAACTTGAAGGTTGAACTTGAAGTTTGAACTTGAAGGTTGAACTTGAAGTTTGAACTCGAAGTTTGAACTTGAAGTTTGAACTTGAAGGTTGAACTTGAAGTTTGAACTTGAAGGTTGAACTTGAAGGTTCAACTTGAAGTTTGAACT